TAGGTACTATTCTTGGGAGGGTGGGGTTGTTGTTCTCTTTCTTCAGCAGGGTGTCCATCTGCCAGGTTCTTGCTGAAATTGAGAACTAGTGTCCTGATGTCTCTGCCTAGGGAGGCCGCTCCTTCCAAACCCTTCTCTTCCCAATTGGCAATCTTCTGGCTGATCCCTGAGACAAGTTCAAGGACTTCATCACCTGTGGACTTGATCTGTGCTGTGCGCGATGTCACTGCAGCAGTGATATGGTTGTGGAGTTCGAGGCTCAGTTGGCTCTGGGGGGGGTCATGGGTGGGGGATGCCGGGGGGGTGTCCTGCGCTGGCAGTGGGCCCGTGTATTGGTTCTCAGGGGCTAGGCTAGGAAAGTGTTGAGCCTGCTGTGGTGTCTCTGGTCCTATCTGTACTGGTTGATGGGCGGGGTCGAGGGGAGGCACGGTCGGGGTCTCATGGGCCTCTGAGGCCTCGCGCATGATGGCGTCCGCCACTCCATTGGGCAGGTTGGGTCCTTTTTCCTTTCGCAGTTTAGTAGAGCGCAGGCGATAATGCGCCTGGGTAGCGGGGGCAATTCTTTTCTTGATGCCCGTGGTGCTCATTGTGTTATGGAAGCGATATGGAGGCGATAAGAGATGATTTTTCCCCGATTGAGTCACCTGACCAAACCACGCCCTACGGCCCTACGCTTTTTGCTTTTATGAGAGAAATAGCAGAAGAGATTTTACCTGTTCGCTGGTTAATACTATTATATGCACTGAGGTAGTCTGTTTTACGAAAGCTGTGGACAGAAATGCACGATCCGACTCCATTAGACTACTGAGACATGCAGGAACGGGAATGCAAAAACTTATACTTCTTTTTCTCTTTTCTATAGGAATAAAACCAATTACTGGCAGAAATCTTTAACTAAACTAGTAAGAACGTCTGTTACCTGCTTAATGCTTTCTACATCAACCCACTCCTCCTTCGCATGGAGACCCTCGCCAGAAGGACCAAAGACAATGGCCGGCGTACCAGCCTGCGTGAGCAACGCCGCATCACACCAGATCGCCGCGCCCTCGATCGAAGGCGAATGTCCTAACGACTTCTTCGCAAGATCAACCGTCTTCTGGACCAAAGGGTGATCAGATGGGATTTTCTGAGTGGGACGAGAAATGGTGACCCGGGGTTCTTCGTATTTGAATTCCGGTGTTTCTTTCGCGATGTTCGCAAGAAGGGTTTGCATGTCCCGGAGGATAGATTCGTCTGTCTGGCCTGGTATAGTACGGAATTCCACCGTGATTGTGCACTTTGCTGGATAAGACGATGGTTCTTCACCACCCTTGATTAGACCGCAGTGAAGAGATGCCGGGCCAAGTACATCATCTACAGGAAGTTGGCGTTGGTAATTCTCTAGAACAGTCAAGAAACGACCGGCCAAGAGGATCGAATCGACTCCAGTCGCAGGGTTTGAACCATGGCCAGCAACACCGATAATATCAATCTCCACCCAGAGGAATCCTTTGTGGGCAGGGACGATCGCGCACATCGTTGGTTCAGGAATGATTGCACCATCTGTTTTCCATCCAGCCTCCATCAGGTCGCGAGTTCCCTGGGAAGCGTCTTCTTCGTCGGACACGGCAGCAAGGATCACATCGCCACGAAGAGTACAGCTACTCGTCTTAATAGCAACTAAGGTTGATAAAGCTGCAGCTAGCCCACTTTTCATATCCAAGCTACCGCGGCCAAATACAGTGGGGCGACCATTCTTCTCAGTCAAGTGACCAGACAGAGGTTCATGGTCGTAGCTGGCCAGACTAACAGTGTCCACATGGCCGTTGAGCATCAGCGATTTACCGCCACCGCTACCACGAAGGACACCGACGACAGAAGGACGTCCGAAGACAGTTTCAATACGGTGAGTCTCAATACCGCGATGCGCAAGCCATGCTGAGATATAATCAACTATTCCTGCCTCGCCAGCACCATTTGCAGCGGAAAGAGTCACATTCGAAGAATCAATTCGGGTTAATTCTTGGGTGAGAAATATGGGATCATCAATGGATACATCGTGAGGAATCGGGTATGGTCGAGAGCCTTCAGTGCTTAACAAAACCACGACTGACTCACTGTCCAGAATACGTGAGCCTTCCCTTGATTCCGCGATTCGCCTCAATGCTGCAAGGCTTGCACTTCCACAAGGGCCTGCTGTAACGCTTTCAGACGCCAAGTGTTGCGCAGCACAGTGACTCTCGTAACAGGACACAGTGACGCTTGCATCTACATGCCGACGCAGGTCGTTCCACGCGACGGGTGTAACAGTACCGCAGTTCAAGCCATCCATGATCGTTGGTGTAGTTTCGACTGGCGTCATCTTGTCCGCCTTGAGACTTTGGTATAGACATGCCGCTGTGTCTGGCTCCACTGTAACCACCTTCGGGCCCTCAGAACGAGCCTTGAAGTGCTTGACAACAGCATGCGCCAACGACCCCACGCCGACGGGTGTAACCACAGTGGTGCTCTGAAGACCCATGTCGGCCAACTGTGAGTCGATCTCGGTCATCATGGTCGAATATCCGTCGACGATCCATGCCGGGATCTCCTCGTAGCCGTCAAACGATGTGTCTTGCACCAATAGCCCACCATCCACAGTCCGGGATGCTTTGGCGGCTGTCTGCACTGCGCAATCATAGTCCGCTTGCACGACATGGACAGTGGCGCCTTCACCGCTGATTAGGGCTTGGGTGTGAGTATCCATCGTACGTGGTACATAAATTTCGCATTTTATGGATAGCAGTTTCGCAATATATGCGACAGCCCGACCATGGTTTCCGTCTGTCGCTGCGATAACAACGAGCGGGTCCGACATCGCCCTAATTCTCTCGCTCAATTCGGCCCATGATATAGTCGGCGAGAGCCCAAGGCGAGCCGTCAACGCGCGATATAGACCCCAAGACGCGCCGAGGACTTTGAATGAGGAAAGTCCAAATCGGTTGCTCTCGTTCTTGGCAAGCACGGCGCGAACACCAAGTTCTGTCGCCAGCTTAGGGATCAAGATCAGAGGAGTAGGTGAGTATCCGGGGAGCTGTTGGTGTAGTTTTATCGCATCGTTATGCGAGCTCGGACGAGGGTAATCAGCAGCAGTGCTGTCATAATTATTGAAAAAGACAGGCCTTCGCGCTTCGGGCATTGTTGGCTTCAGTTTTCAAAATAAAACAAAGCAATTTTACATTCGGAAGTAATGTATTGTTTCTTTGACAGCGATATATCTGTGTCGGCTATCCACGCCCTCTGACAACATCACATGCCCTCTGGGGACGTCTCCAACGCTGAGCACGAGGCTAGCATGGACTCTTGAACCTAGCCCTTGTGCTGCTTATCTATTGACCCACCTTTCTATTAATCGATCTTGTTCCGAAAAGTAGCATTGTGTTCTGGATTTCTTGAACCCCGCGATATGGACCGATGTAACGGGGAATTGATATGTACCCGAAGCCCGCCTGTATAGAAACTAATACGGATTGGAAAGCATCAGTATCTGCCAACGGTCAGAATATATAGTCATATAGCTTTTCTGCGAAGAGTATTCTGTCTAGTATCGTAAAAGACTTGAGAACATTGAGGACATTATCTGGAATAGTAGGCGGTGAAGAAAGCGGTCACTCATTTGTCTGTCCTATAGACGCCCGTGATGATGCCGCGACGACATTCTGTTTCCATAGCATAAGCGGCACCTTTTGTGTTATTCCATCGATTTTAATTCAGTCTCGGCAGATTGAGGGAATACATTCCACTTGTTGTAGCAGTCGCCTTGCATTGATAAACCAGCTGTCATGGCCACCTGGGCATATCCACCAATACCCCCGGAGCAGCTGGAGCATGAGGCAGATCGCGCATTGGTAAGTTAGGGCCTATTGTCTGCCCATGTGCTAGGACAGCTTGTTAATTGAGATTTCTGGCCTAGGAAAGAGAACTAGAATGGCTCCTGCGCTCCTTACAAGACTCGCTCGCTTCCTTGAAAGAAGGTCTCCGTGACTGCGCTGCACTGCTAGCTCCAAAAGAACCGGGTTCAACATTGGTCCTGTCATCGCTACGGTCTGAAAACGTAAAAGGCTTCGTGACGAGAATCGGGACAAAGATTGTGAAAGGGGTATGTCTTCATGCGGATTACATTCCTCTGGCGCTTGTGCATCGGTCTCCGTGTTTCGTACATGAATGACTATTCACCCCAGTGCAAACCGTGGAGCAAGGTTACTAAAAGAGGGTCGTATTAGGATATCCAACTTCGCTTAAACTCCCTTCCCTCATCCCGTGGCGCGGCAGGTACACGGCTATGTCTGTCGACTTCCCCCACCGCCCCAGAACTCGTGCTCGACCAAATGGTTGCTGTTAGGAATTCGGTCAACCAGTGCCTCGATATAGTCGACGTTAGCACCTGGACTGGTGACCCGTTGAATGCTACTTTCATCTACAGTCAATTGCACCTTTTGCATGAGACTATCACGGAAGCGCGGCAGATGCTGAAAGGTGAAGACGATGTCAAGAGCAAGTGGTGGAAGACAAGTGCGGATGAGAACGTGAGTGTCTAATCAATCAATCTTCGCTTGTCAGCGATAACTGATCTGGTTGGTATAGATGTTCGATCCACCATTACCGCCCTACCTCTCGTTCCACCTCTCTATTGCCGACTCAGCTCTTCTTCTATGCCTAAGAACTTTGGAAACTACTGCAACTGCGCATGCGCCAACGGCCTTTGCTTCTGACATTTCGTTAACTGGGTTTAACATACGAGACCGACTCTTCGGGGCTAGGCAACGCCCTCACGACGAGGCAAACGACCTGTTTACATGGAAGGGCGAGGAAGTGAGGGTCAAAGAAAAGATTCGCGTAGAGAGCCAAGACCCCAGTCTGATGGCTGTGATGGCCAAGTTGACTGCGCTTGAACATGAAGTGATGAAATGGACTTCTGCCCTGGAGGTGCTTATGGGAAACGACGACACGGAAAGCGAGACATAGCTTTTCTCCACCTCGAACATCATTGAATATGAGCAGAACATAGTATAGAGCATAGCATATCAACATATCAGCATTGTAGATCTATGTCGCCCCAGAAAGCATCTGATTGGTAGCCCAAGATCCATAGAGCTTAGATAAGATATCAAAAAACTCAACAGCCAATGAAAGGTCGGGAATTTCCGATAGGCGCATGTCTTGTCCAACATTTTTTCAAGTGGCAATCCGATTCTTCTTACTTGTCCGCTCGTTTTCCTTTGATTTTGGCGTTTGTGGAAGGGGTTTAGCATGCTTTCAAGATATCCAGCTACCAGGGCCAGCCGGTCGTGCTCGCGCGGTTTCCGATCTGTCGCCAATTCTCCGCGACAACTCCGCCGCGGAACAGCAAGCTTCATAAACCACAAGTCTTCCGCTCGACAGACATTATCGTCGACTACATCCTCGAACCCTTCCGTACCTCGTTTCGAACAATGGCAAGCTGGAAAGAGGCTAGCGTCAACCGCAGCAGCTGCAGCGCCCGAAGAACCTACAGCGCCCGAAGAATCTACGGAGACGCCCCGTCACGAAAATCGCAAAGATGAGATATACGGCTTGATCGACAAAATCAATGAGACAGATGGGGAGCTGGCTGAGCTCATGGAGGATTTGGGTGTTCCGGATGAATATTCTGGAGCTCTCAGTGTCGACGGTCCGGAATTAGACAATGCATTCAGTCAAACTGTCGGCCATCGAAACGAACAAGCGCTGGAATCGCGAGTCCGGACGGCGAAACAACAATTTGGTGATGAATTACCGGATGATTACCTGAACGCTACGGAGCTGAGACTGTACACACAACTGTATGGCGAGCCAATTATTCGAGCGGAACAGTTGGAAGTCGAACAGGAAGTCGATGAGGAGGAGCCCGATAGACTTTATCGTGAGGACGGGGAGGGTAGATGGGAGGAAATTGAAGTCGAGCCGGAAGAAGAATCAGGCGAGCCCGAGGTGGTCTACGATATGGAAGTTGGTCCGCCAGTGAAGGAGACCATTTCAATGCAGCGTACGAGGGAGGTGGCCGAGCAGCTTGGTGGAGAGATCATGCTGGAGGAATTAAAAGACGAGGCAGCGGATTCTACGCCGCGTCTGCACCCTCTGACAACCGAAGGGAAATTTGCGACACATCCCAAAACCGTGAATATGCCAAAGGACAGCATGACTATCCCCATCACTGCTGTCCTTTCCAACTACGCCAACAGACACGTTGCGGAAGTTGCGCATCGCGTTTTTGGTGGGAGGTTGCTCCCTCATTCTACGACAACGCCCCCTCCGCGCGCACAGATTCCCCAGCTTCCGATCCCTCTGCAGGCTTCTCAGCGTCACATGGGTGAGATGGAGGCAAACGCATACATCGCCGCTCTTTATCCTGGGATTTACGCATCTGCGCTGAGCACCTTGGTGGAGACTCGCAAGCGCCTGGGAACGGATTGGATACGCCGACTGATGACACAGGACGGTGGCCCGAATGTGCTCGATGCGGGTGGTGGAGGTGCTGGTATCTTAGCTTGGAGAGACATTCTCCGTGCTGAATGGGACGCCATGTACCCTGATCGCTCGAACACAGAGTCTGTCCTTATGGGTAGGTCAACTGTGATCGCTGGATCCGAATCCCTCCAGGCGCGTGCGAGTTTGATGCTGGAAGATACGACTTTCCTCCCTCGACTTCCGGACTATATCCATGCGCGTGAGAAGCCGACTTTGGATGATGAGAGAACCCCAAGGCGGAAGCAGTACGATATCATCATCGCACCTCACACTTTGATGGAAATCGATGAGGAATATTTGCGGAAGCAACACGTTGAGAACCTGTGGGCTCTCCTCAACCCCAACGGTGGCGTACTGATCCTCCTCGAAAAGGGCCGCCAAAAAGGCTTCGAGGCTATCGCCGGTGCCCGCGAAATGCTTCTTAGCCGCTACATCTCTAGCCCCGGGTCTACAGAGTATGATAACACGCTAGACTCCCCCAACGACAGCACCACAGTGCGAAAAGAAACCGGAATGGTTGTTGCCCCTTGCACAAATCACGAAAAGTGCCCGATGTACAACGGCCCGGGCAACAAGGGCCGTAAGGACTACTGCCACTTCGAGCAACGATACATCCGACCACCCTTCCTGCAGCGCATCATAGGAGCCAGAGACCGCAACCACGAAGACGTCCAATTCAGCTACCTCGCCGTGCAGCGTGGTAAGGACATGCGCCAGAGAGACGGGATTGTCCAGGGTCCTCAGGCTGCGGAGGCCGCTTTTGCTGGCTACGAGCACCTCTACGACATGACTGCCGAAGAGGGCCTTCCCGAAGAGGGCTTCGAAGGTCCCAAAACCGATGCTGAAGCTTCATCCGCGCCGCAGGACGCGAATGCTCCCGCGACTGAGCAAACCTCGACAGAACCAACAGAACCCTTCCACACCCTCTCCCTCCCTCGCGTCGTCTACCCACCCCTCAAACGCCGCGGCCACGTCGTCTTCGACTTCTGCACACCAGCAGGCCAAATCGAGCGCTGGACCGTCCCCCGCTCATTCAGCCGCCAAGCATACAAAGACGCGCGCAAAGCCCGCTGGGGCGACCTCTGGGCCCTAGGCGCAAAGACACGAATCCCCCGGAAAGTTGTTATGGGCGATAAGCACGGTGACGGAAAGAAGGAGCGGTTAGCGAAGCGCGCTGCTGCGAAGGAAGCGATGCGCGATGAAGAGGAAGGATTTGATGAGGATGAGGACCCGGAGGAGGGTTCGAAGAAATTGCCGGATTTGCCGATTCCAACTAAGAAGAAGGGAATAACTGTGCCTAGTTGGAAGAAGCATGCGGATAAGAAGACGTTGAGACAGGCTTCGAAGAAGCGTTCTATTGTTCAGTTGGCGGATGATAACTGGCAGTGATCTACTTGGCAATAATGGTTTGATGGTTTGGGAATGGTAAATGATGATTTACGAGCAGTTTGGCGCATTGTGATGGGGTTATCAGCATACCGGACTTAGCATTGGGTTTGTATATTATATGTAAGATACGTCGATTCTGTTGGGATAAAAGTACACTGTAAATAGAGATCTTCGCTCAGATGGCAATCCCATTTTCATTTGGATCATGTATTTAGGAAATCGTATTTATAACCTCGTAAGACATCTCTTCAGGATGTGGCACCGTGGGGACGAGCTCTTGTCGAGCACCTACGCAAACCGTCCTGTCAATATAGTATACGGTGGTCCTCCCATAGGTGTCGTCGATTGGGAAGGTCTCTGTCCCTCCTCTTGTCAGACTAATGATCTCCAAGGAAGCCGCTGTTATCCGGACGGCCGTAGACACCAGCTTCTAACCGGTAACGACCGAGCAAGACAAACGAGGTAACAGTGCCGTGTGACTTCAAGCCCGGGTCGCAATATGATTCATCGCATCGGCGGTGTTTCAAAACAGAAAATTGAGCAATACGCTCAAGCGTACGTAGGTGGCTCAATGCGGCGCAGCCATACTCTTCCTCAGCTGCCGCTCCCGCTGCCTCCCCTGCAACTCCAATCGCTCAACAGCATACTGCAAACGTTCCTTTTTCTGGATCAACCGCCTCAACTCAGTAGCCTTTGCGGCATTTCCTTGTCGACTGCGAAGGGCGTTGCTCTGACTGCGACTTGTCGAGGACTGGCGGGGTTCATCGGATAGTCTTCCTTCTTGGAGTTCGCATTTGGCTCGTAGACCCTGTTCGCGACGGGAGAGCTTTTCGACGTGGTTGGAGGCGAGGGATAGTAGGTGGGCGATGCTGGGGGTGATTTCGTCGAGGAGGGATTGTTGGGCTTCGCGGAGGGTGGGTTCTGGGAGGAGTTCGAAGTGCTGTTGTTGAAACGGTGTTAGGCAATGTTTCAAATGCGCAGACTGTTCTGAAGACTCACTCGTGTGCTTTGCAGGACTTTGCAGAGTCGGGGAAAGTCGTTTACACCGGAGTCCAATGTATTAATGGAGGAATCGAGAAGCTGGAGGGAAGATTGGAGGGAGGAAACGGACGAGGCGAGAGCCGCAGGAGCAGTCATAGCGATATTTATAGAGAATAATTCCAGTATTAGAGGGTTTATAGATACAAGTCTCGACTTGACGCCATTGTTGTTGTTTACAGCGGCGGCAGAGGGGCTCGCTTAAAGCGGCATGAGGCGGTGAGGCTAAAGCGGCGCGGGTCGGACCTCCGGACAAACTTCGTCGCTCTTCGTCCAACCGTCCTCTTAGCCGCATCATAAACGTCCCTCCTCAAGACAAAACAAGACAGGACATTGTCTCGAATTAAATCCTCTGTCACCATGTCTCTCCTTGGAAAGAAGTTCCCGGCGCCTATCGGTAAGTTATTCGGGTCCCTTTTCCCCTCCGCGCCTGTACGCTGCGTTCCGATAGGAGTTAGAGTTAGAGACTGACTGCTTTGTGCCCATTTATAGCCAAGCCTATGGCTCCCTTCTTCGCTGCCGGTATGTTTTGATCGATTACTCGTCGTTACTTGAATTGGATCGCCATTGGAGATATCGGAAGGGAATGTTGGATATACTGTTCAATGGGAGCGAGCATCTGCGGGGACATGCGGTTCTAACATGCGGGTTACAGGTGTCGTCATCCTCTACGGCATTAACTCTCTCGCCAACACTCTGTCGCAGAGTGAGTGACCCCAATTCGACACCGTCTTCTTTCGTTCAAGCTCTCCGGAGTCCTTCCCGTGACTGGTCGAAGGAGACGGTTGAAGATGTGACCATCGCTAACTCTCTAAACAGCCGACGAGTTCAAGAACGACCCCCGCAACCCCAACGCCGGCAAGAAGCACTAAATTAGTCGACTCGGTGATACCTTTATGGTGGAGGAATGAAAATGGTTGTGGGTGGCTTGATGCCCGGATTGCTGTTTCGCGTTTGTCTACATATTGTGGACAGTTACTCTGTACAAGCATATAGATAGTCCTGTCATGGACATGTTGATGAATTGACATTGTACCACTGCCGTTTTCTATGCCGTTCAGTTTCTTTGCCTTGTGCGACACTTGATTTCATGTGGGGGACCTCGGTAATGCTCGAGATTGTGCGCCTTGACGATAGCCTATACGCAAGGTCAAGCATGAATGCTCTAATCTGAATATTTTCGTTTAAGATTCCCGCTCATAAAAAGGTTCTAGTCGCCATTGTGACTTAATGACGAGATCCGCAATAGCCGATAACGGAGCACTGGCGTTTCATGGACCCGGCCACAGCAACTATGAACAACCAAGTCTACAACCATTTTAGCAGCAACTCCAAGCATATCGCCTTTGCAGATCACATATATGCTGGCAAACTCGAATAAGGCTATGTCTACATAATGGCAGAAACTTGCCGCCTGCACATAAGCACATAAGCACACAAGCGCATCTCTGCCGTGTCAGCACACGTCACGTTTGTTTCCTATTGTATCTTCAGAAACTGTAAGCTGGAGGCTTGAGAACTGCATCCTTCAAGATGCTTGTGGGCCCCCCCTAACACGTATTGTAATAAAGAAATCAAAGCAAATAGCGACATTGGCGGACCGGGAGTGAGTATACAATATTCAATTTTGATGGACTTAGTCTGTAATATCTGCTAACTGCATAGGTCATGGCTTCCTTTCTGATAATGTCGTGGCTTACTGTATTTCTCGCATTTTCTCCAGCACTCCATGAAGCGCAGAACGTGGTATATCAATGGCAATCTCGCGGGAATCCTACACAATGGCAATCCTTGAACGGGCAAATTGGGGCAGCGGCTACCCCGTCCAGCATCGGATCGATTTCAAATGAAAGTCTTATTCCAGACCTCTGAGCAGCACATTACGAACACAGAACCAGGAATTGTCCAGAAGATCGAGGCACTTTTCGGACCCTTGTGTGACCTCCAGGCAGTGTCAGGCGTCGCTATCATGATTGCCGGTTTCGCTCAATGGCATACAATAACGTTCTACCACGAACAGTTGGTCATGTATTACTGGTGGTTGACGTTGAACTCTTTCTGGGTCGCACGCATCCACTATATGAACCTTGACTCGACCGGCGAACCGTGGCTACTACGTGTTAGACGTTTCTCTGTCCTGTTCAGCTGCATCCTTGCCATTATTTGGCAGATCCGCATTTTTTACCGTGAATCAAACTACTGGAATGATATTGACGGCCCTTGTTATCGCTTCCTAGATGGAACGTCGGTATGGCCTTGGGTGGGAGGACTAATCTTGTTTTCCGTGGCTCTTTCATCTTCTTTATTTGAGAAGACCAGATTTATTAACAACCGTTACATTTACTACACAGAAAAAGCCCGAGACAGATCTTGACATGGTTAGAGAACTCCAGACAAAGATGCAAAGGCGAAAGACAAAGATATGAAGGTGCAATGCAAAGATACAAAGGTCCAGGGAATACCCAGGTTGTGTTGCTTCCTGTGCCTAAGCGGCAAGGTGTTTTCCATAAAGCCTGGATACATGTTGAGGTCGCAATCGCGGCTCTGAGTGTTGTGATTTATTGGTTTCTGCTACAATGGTTGGCTACATGGTCCTACGGTGATGGCTTCATTCCGTTTACCTGGTTCATATATGTCGGCCTCAACGTATGGTATACCTTGGATGTGGTGTCTCTTTGGGCTTGGAATAAGCCGCTGATTAGTGCGGAGGAGCAAGGCTGGGGTTTTGGCCAGGTTCTTCCCCTTGTCTTGATACTCTCAATCGGTATCAACGCACTGGACATCTTTCGAGGTGAACGCCTCGAACACTTGACTCGGACTGCGGAGGTAGATGAGACTGGTAATTAGCACAATTGGCATCGGCAGTACATATTCATTACTTGCAAAGTGGGCCACAGTTGTAAAATGGAGGACTTCTGCTATTCTATTGTACAGTGTAGTGCTCCGTACTCCGGTACATGTACCCGCCCTAGTCCCAATTAGGAAGGCGACTTGGCTCCGCCGGCCAAACTTCGCTAACTCCGTTTCGCCTTTGCGCCGACAACTTCAACGCACGACGAACACCACACCATCATGTCGCAATTCAGAGCAAAGAGACTGGATCTCGGCGGTTTTATCAACGCCCGTGTGGTCCGCGACCACACTAAGCGCAAGGTGTACGAGCAGTACGAGCCCGAGCGGTATGGCCCCCACGATACCACCCCGGATTCGCAGCGTTATTTTGGAAATACTTGGGATTGAAGACTGACTATTGTCTTTGTGAATATAGTCAAGCCCTCCGCTACATAATCCGCAACACCACTCTCCCCCAGCGTGCCCGTGCCCAGGCCCAGCTCCAGCTCTCTCAGATGCACGCCTACACGCGGCCGACGCAAATCAAGAATCGATGTGTGGCAGGTGGGATTGCTAGGAGTATTTTCCGAGACTTCAGAATTGCTAGAGTGAGTGTTCCTTGCTCAAAGACTGCCTGCGATGGCGGCCTCTGGCCTTTGGGACTTTGAGAACGGCTGAACTAACGCCCTGGGTTTTATAGTACCAATTCCGTCAACAAGCACTGGCTGGTGAGCTTCCGGGTGTGAAGAAGGCGAGTTGGTAAAGGGGAATACATTGGTTGTTATATTATGATGGTGATCGGGCAATACGATTTGGATCGACCGATTTCGCACAAAAGGCGTTTTTAAATCCGTTTATACCTTATGAGAAGTGTACAATAGGTTATGAATATTGATGGGATTACAATGGATTCTCGAGATCTTCTATTTTCTGGCCTGTGTCGGAAAAGCGTACGTCTGATAGAAGCCGACTCGCATACTGGGAACAAACAGATTGCAGAATATGGATATTCTAGCAAACAAACTGCTTTCACCTATCAACTTCACTACCCATAAAAAGCTGATAGATTCAATTGATATTCACTACTGGCAGTGTGTTGCCGCAAATTTGCAACTTCGTCTTTTCTCTTTCTTTGTTTTCGTCCGCCTCTTCCTTCTCTCCATATCTCCAACTTCCTCATCCATCTCTACATCTTCCCACTTCTCTAAATCCCAAGAACAGCAGACAGAAACAACACCAGGTGCCTTCAGAGCAAAATGTTCGTCTTTCGTCCCAAGGACCTCCCTCCTGACCCGGTCTATCCTGCCGATCTCAAGGAACTAGGGTAAGCGCCTCTTTCTTTCTTGACGGAACAAACGAACTCTGATAGAGTATAGATACTTCATCACCGACAACGACCAGATCAAAAAGATCTCAGACCCAGAGCAAGGATTCCAGTTCAAAATCAACCGCAACTCTCGCTGGAATGACGCCCAACGAGAAGCCATGAACGGTGAGCCCTTCCCTCTCCTTCCCTCCTTCCCTTTAATAGAAGAATAAGCCAACGTCCACAGCCTGCATCCGCACCATCGTCCACTCTCGTCTCCGCGACCAGGGCATGACAACCCTCCGTCTCCCCCTAACCGCAAGCCCCAAAGAACCACACGTCCCGATCTTCGTCTCATCCAACCTCTCCACCGCGAAACGCATCATCGTCGTCTTCGGAGAACCCATCCAAGACATCGGCATCTGGGCCTACCGAAGTGTCGGCATGCAAGGTATCAACGCCGGCTCAGCAGTCTCGCTGGCGCAGGAGATCCTCCATCCCCAGAAGAAAGACCAACAGCAGGCCCCAGAATCCAACAGCAAGCCGCAGCGCGTCACTTCCGATACAGCCCTCATTCTCGCAAACACAGGCCAGCTGATCTGGCATTGTGGTGGTCAACATGCAATCACCCATGCTAGCTGGATGGCTCTCCCGCGGCGTTCGGCTGTTGATCCGCCCTATACGATGACGGGCCGTAACTCGGTTCCTGAGAATGCTAATTGGCAGGAACATGTGGAGAGTGTTTTTGAGGAGGTTCTGGCTGCGAGGGGACGGCTTGTTAGGGAGGATGCTGAGATTGATATCATTGGTATTTCTGAGGGTGGGCTTGGTGCGATTCGGTATTTGGCGAGTGATTGTATGAATACCATCCCCCATTCTTTGTGGATTGATTGCTGATACACTGAATAGGGTCCTCTTGGAGCTCCTACATCAACGCAATCTGCCTCGCCACCCCCCTCCACTTCGCAAACATCGACCTAAACCCCTACGACAACGACAACGACAACGAATCCGAAGCCGAAACCAACAACAACTCCAACCCCAACTCATTCACCTCCTTCCTCCTCGCCCGCGGCCGCGCATACGTCGTCTCCCCCGAACCCCGCGGCGTCCCCGTCCCCGGCATCGAAGAGCATGGTTGTAACTGTTTCGCATCCGGGGAGGAGTTGAATATCGAGTGTGTTATGGGGGCTGCGTGGAAGGAGATGGTGCAGTGGTTTGAGAAGGTACATGCGGATCCGGAGTATTGTGAGAATCGGTATGATGTGACAACGGTGGATGCTGAGGGGGGTGTTGGTCCTGTGAGTGGTGTTGAGGTTGTCCATGCGGGTGTTGATGGTGAGGATGATAATGGGGGTGTTGCGCTTGGGGAGGTTTAGGGTTCTCATTAGGCAATTGGCACAAGGTAGTTAATGGGGTTATCAAGATGAGCTTAGAATTTAGCGTAGGAAGAAAATAATGAAAACATCAAGTCGTTATTCCAATCTATCAAAAGAAACACCTACTCATACGCCTCCCCACCGGCACATCAATCTCCACATACTCCCTCCAAATCTCCCTCTTCCACTCATCCAACGAGATAATCCTATCCCCATACGGCACACACAACCCAGGAACCCTCTTCATCCTCTCCGTATCCCACTTTGGAATATCCAAAAAGTCATGCCCCCTATCACAGATATTCATCTGCAGCGTTCCATTCTTCAACCGCTGGTAGCAGTCGTGGTCGAAGGTTAGATTGATGCAATCACGGCACCACCACATTTCACTCGCGGTCGTCCAGCCATAGCCGCAGTTTGCGTCGCAGACGGCGAAGATCGGGCGAGTATGTGAATGAGGGGCTTGCTGTTGTTCTTGAAGTTCCTGTAATTGTTGCTGGAGCTGTTGTTGCTGTTGCTGGTTTTCCTTCTTGGTGCTGCTGTAGTTGTCGATGTTGCTTTTGCCGGCGGTGTTGTATTTTCGGTTGAGGACTTCCGTGTCTCGTCGGGTGCTGCGGCGGTGTTTTCTAGATTCTGTGGGTTTGGTGGGTCTCTGGACATCGGCCTCTCGAGTTATGGGCATGGAAGTCGGGCTTGTTGTTCTCTTGCTGGAATCGAAAACCGTTCGTTGTTCTTCGGGAGGGTCTTCGGGAGAGTCTTCGGGTTCCTGATCGCCGCCGAGTCCTGCCATGATGACGGCTGCGCGTGCGTTCTTGTCGTCTCCCAAGGGTAGGAATACAAGCAATAACCGCCAATATGCGAGATAGTCGTTGTCGTAGTCACCATCAGACAGGATCTCCAGAGCCATTTTCACCACGCTACGAGCAATTTGCTTGGCCCTGAGTCTGTCACCCTGCACATAGTAGTATCTTGCAAGATACAACTTAGCCGGGAATACAATGTTGTTCTCGGACGTCTCGTCTGGCAGAATAGTCGAGATTCGTTCCAAATAAGACCTGGCTACATCGGAGTCTCGCTCGGCTGCTCTGGCGCGACGCAGGTACAGCGGTGCCAACTTCCGGGTCAAGTCTGGAAGGATAGCTTCGACTTCGAGGACAGTTCGGGGAAGGTCATCCTTTAGTGCGAGCTCCCAAAGTCCAATGGCTCGCTCCTCGTTCTCGGGTTGTTGGTAAACGGCGTTTGCGTAGTAGTAACGGAGGTAGTAAAGACTGGTGCACACCTGGCGTTTTACGGCGGTGTTGATGGCGTTGTCATATATCCTTTCCAGAAGATCAAACTGGCTCGTTTCGATGGCGGTCTGCAGCAGAATCTCATGGAGGCTTTCGTGAGCGGCAAGGTTCACCATCATATCTGCCACATTTTGTGGATCGCCTGTTGGTTCTTTCTGAATTGTGTTCAACAAGTTGACGATGTCTTCCCATCGTTGCTGGGAACGATACTGCTCCAATATTACCAGAGCACGATCACCACCCGTGTAGTGTGCTTTGACTGACCGGGTATGAAAATGGATGGCTCGATCAAGCTGGCCTACTCCCCAGTATCTCTGTCCCAGGTCAAATAGGATTTCAGTTAGCGATTTTTGGAGTCTAAGTTTTCCAATCAGCTCGTTGTCTGTTTCGAAACGTTTCACGATAGTTTCCAAGATTTGGATGGCTTCGCTGTTGGATGTCGTCGCGTGCGCTAAATAATAGGAAGCTCGCCAGTTCTGGGGATCCAGTTCTAGCGCTCGACGGCATCTTGCCTGAGACTCAGAGGCGAAAGAAAAGCTCTCAAGTATGATGGCTACTTGGACTTCCCATAGACTGTCTTTCTCCTCGATATCTAACAGCCGCTGCGACCATTCCTCAACTTCACGGATCCTGTCCAGACTGGGTGCCATCAGGTCAACTGACGTGCCACCTGCTAAATACTCGTTGGAGCCCTCGAGCTGAGAAAGTTAGTTAGATTCTTCGCTCAAAAGACTAAGTAAAGACAAACCTTGTCAAGGAAATCAAAAAGGAAAAAGAACGCATTGCGGGCAAACGGCCGCATAGATGGACACCGCAGCCAGTGCACTGCCATCCTCTTTGCAAAAGGCAGGAGCAGCACCTTCTTCGGATCTGGACTAGTCATAAGCTCAGAGATCCAGTCTCGATCCTTCAGATTCGAGATCTCAGAGATAACCGCCGAATCCCCAAACCATCGTAGGACCTGCTCTACACCCGCATCACTGTCCAGCCATGTAGTACGGATTTGCGTCCCCAACGGCACAGCTTTGGTAGCATCATCAGCCCAGACTAATGCATCTGTTGCTGTATCTTCGGTAAACAACTTTAAAAGGCGAGGTCCAACAGCACTCTTCAATTCACGGTCCGCAAACGCTAGATCCACAGAGGACAAATGCTGAAGGACATAGCTAATGGCGTACGGACGTAGGATCTCTGACCGCTCGTCTCTCTCTTCTGTTAGAATGCGTAGACAAGTTAGGGCCATCTTGATCTCCGACGCATCCTTGTCGTCGCGATAAATACGACATCGCTTGCCACTGAGTTTTTGCTCAAAGAACGTTTCAAAGTCAAACTTGCCATAGACTTCCGGTGGACAGACTGTGCGAAGGAAATGCCTAACGATTGACACTTCATTTGGCTGAATTCGCGCTGAGGTGTCGGGACTGGAGTCCTCTTGGATGACCTGACTTTTCTCGGGAATCAATTCCGGGATCTCATAGGAACTGAAATCGATATCGCCATCGGTGTCAATGTCAAACAAATGATACTTAAAAGAGAGCTTTGATTCAAGCGGTAACAGTGAAAGCTCTCCGCTCTTCAAGTAGAGCACAGACGCCATCTGATAGGGCTTGAACCATTCTCTTCCATGAAGAATCCAGAGGATGATCTCGTTGATTTCTGAGAGTTCTTTGAGAGTCCTCGTATTGTTAAGCTTATCGATGTCAGCAAGAATCTGCTGGGACCGTTCCTTCCCGGCGTCTGCGAGCACACGGTCGATGTCGTTCACATAATCCAGCGAGCTGATGCGTTTTAGGACCGTGTTGACTCTGAAGAAATCACCTGCCGTCCTCTGGCATAGAGTATCGCAAATCTTTTTTCGCAATGCCGGAACTCCCATCCGTGCGGTGTCCTTGAGTGCGTCTATACCGTTCATTCGCGACTCGATGAATAGCTCCACATCTGATCGATTCCTGGCGCTGATTGGGATGCTTTGGAAAAAAACACCTTTAACTGTTGCCAGCTGCTCGAATGCTCTTGTATGGCCGTTCAGCAGGATTCGAATATGTCGGTCCTTCCAAAGCTTAGAGGCTTTCTGAAGGAACCTAACGAAGCCATCCCCGATCACATCGCCCAGGCCATCGATGATAATGAAAAATGTTGCATCCATGCGGTCCAGGTCATTGTTATCGAAAAGGAGCTGCGACAGGATCTCATCTGGATCCAAGTCTTTGGTTTTCTCACAGATGCTAGCAACAGATTTCAGATAAGATGCATCAGACTGGACGAGCTGCCAGATTATGGACTTGGCGATGACATCGAAATGGTTGACTTTTCGGACTTCTTCTTTGGACTCGCCCTCAAGAAAATAGAAAGCCACTAGAGTCCGCGAGCCCGAGTCTTCCGCGGCACTACGGTTACGGAGACTTCGAATAATCGTCGAGGTCAGGTAGCTCTTGCCGGACCCTTCGACGCCCTTGATAGCCAGGATGGGCGACCTGCCTTTACGGTTGCTCTCCCATGCGGCGTATCTTGGGTCGTCAAATATCCATTGGCCAGTGCCAGGGACAACTGATTTGCGGTAGTTGTGATAGTTCCGGTGCCAGTACGGATCGGGCTCTTTCTTTACGGGATCAAGTTTATTTTCGTCGATGGCTAGAGTCTTCAAGACAATATCTCGTCGACGTTTGATCTCATGTTCTTTTCGCTGGTCGAACCGATCCTCCATCAGGACATCAATCTTCTCATCCATCTCATGGCTAATGGACAAGTTCTTTTGAGTGTTTGTCACGGCCTCAGATACAAAGTTGAACATCTGTGCAGTAACTAGCCGACCCTCTTGGTCCACAAGGTTGGACATCTTCTGCAGCAGGTCGTCGATGTCATTGTCGTCAAGGAAGAGAATTTTTGTAAAGACTCGTAGCTTCTTGCGTTTGGAGCGACTGAGTTCGATGGTCCGGTCACAAACCTCGACAAAGAGCTGCAGATGTTGACAGGCGACTTTGGTCAGTTTTGCATCCATGCCACCCCGAACATAATATTCCATGCGGCCCAGGTACTGAGCACATCGATCCAGGAGGTCAGCCAGGCTCTCGAAGACACCCTGATAGCCTTGCCAGGCCGATATCACGTAGCTGATGACATTGAAGCAGAGATCGGTAGGACCAAAGACCTTGAGGCAGGGAATACAGTTAGATAACGTTTTTTGCAATCGTGCAATGGAAACCTGACGAGACAGGAGAATCTCACCTCGGATGCTCCCTGAGAGACGATTTCCCCGACAGTCTGGATGACTTGCAAAGTGGTGTTGAACGTAGCACGAATGGTGCTATAGACCTTGTATTTGGAGGCAGACGACTCCTCACGGGCCTCCTGCGCCAGGTCAAGCCGGGCGAGGACACCATCAATGGACAATTTAGTTTTGATCTTTTTGGTATCCCCGCCGGCCAACTGAATAACCCGTGCTTGAACCTGGGCCCAGATGGCGGATATTTCCTTGTTGGCGGCAGCATCGAGGCTAGTGGGTGCTGAGTTGCTGGCGGGGGTGGAGACGTGCTGGACAGTCATCTCGATGGGAGATGCTGCTGGTCAGCCGATCTTTGGAGAAGAGAAATCGGCGGTCATCCGGAGAGCAGGCGAGGATATCAGAATAAATATTGCCCAAGCTCTGTCAGCCTCACCTTAAGATGCAGGATCTTGGATTGACGCTTGTTGACGCTTGTTGACGCTTGTTTGAGAGACCAGTTGGCACGGGGCAAAATTCCCCCCGCCATGCAATGCAAAACGCAGGCTGAGTGGTGATACATCATCCCAGATGCAGGATTGAGTGTCAGGTGGGGGGGACAGTTTATTGGGGGCGATCTGGGAGCTCTGAATGGAATTGTGGTGAAATGGGAAGAGCGGTGGTGGTGGTAGGTCAGAGCAGATGACCGGATTACGATATCATGTGACAACAGGACTGACGCAGCCAGGTTCTGGGCAGTTACCTCGAAGATAACATGGTATCACAAGACAAAACAGTAGAACCTACGATTGCCGGTCAATTGCTCTGGCACAACATTTCCGAAACGGGTAGTATTGAAGCTATCTGAGTCATGGTCACGTGGACATGGCAAGATCTCAACTCCAATTTTTCTACAATTCTGTCTATATTTGATTGGATTCAGTAGGTAATACCCCTGGTAATGAGAACAGTAGAGAATACGAGGGAATTATGCATGAAGTTCAATCCAATTGCGGTGTGGATTCGATCGAGTAAAATCGCCGTTGCCATCGAGTAATTCCAGACTCCGATAGAAAACGATAACCGATGGTTCTCCCGAGATAAAGTCGCCTCTTATCTCGTTTTCCTTTTGGATTTCTTTTCCTGTGGCGTACAAGAATTCTCTTCTTTTATTTCCCTTTATCCCTTCTTTCGCTTCGTTTTCTTGCTTGTATACGTTCTTTGTTCTTCACTTACAGCCTACACTCGCTATGGCCTCAACCACAACCACAACCACCGCCATGGACACCATTGCCGTCGTAACCTCGTCGCGCGCTGTGATTTCCGGCCGTTTGACTTCAGCCACCATTGTCATCTCTCGCCGTACTGGCAAGATCACTGCTGTCTTCGACTCGGTCATTCCCGCCAACGAATTCCCCGAGGGAACCCCGTATACCGACTATTCGCCCCATGTTCTGCTTCCCGGCTTGGTCGATGCCCATGTTCACCTCAACGAGCCCGGTCGTACTGAATGGGAGGGTTTCTATACTGGTACTCAGGCTGCGGCCTTTGGAGGTGTCACCACTGTCATTGATATGCCGCTAAATGCCATCCCGCCAACAACGACTGTTGTCGCCTTTAAGGAGAAGCTCCAGGCGGCTGAGGGCAAGTGCTGGGTTGATGTTGGCTTCTATGGCGGCATTATCCCTGGGAATGCTTCCGAGCTCAAGGCCCTTGTCCATGAAGGCGTTCGCGGCTTCAAAGGGTTTCTATGTGACAGCGGTGTAAATGCACCTTGCCCTTCCTTTGTCCCTAGCGTGTCACAAGCTTACCCGTCTTAGGTCGAAGAGTTCCCGATGGTAACTTCCGAGGATATCAAAAAGGCGATGATTGAATTAGCAGATGAACCCACCACTCTCATGTTCCACGCGGAGATGCAACCGCACGACAAATGCCAGGGAAACGGGACACAACATGAGGAATTCGGACCTGTCGAAGCATATTCAACGTTCCTGGCATCCAGACCATCCTCCTGGGAGACCGGTGCCGTCGCAGAGATCATTTCCCTGGCCCATCTCGCCCCCAAGCTTCACCTGCACATCGTTCACTTGTCCGCCATGGAGGCCATTCCACTACTGCGTAAGGCCCGTTCCCAAGGCGTCCCCATCACAGCCGAAACTTGCTTCCACTATCTTTCCTTGGCCGCAGAGGAGATCCGCGACGGAGACACGCGCCACAAATGCTGTCCACCAATCCGTTCTCAGCTCAACCAGGACGCTCTCTGGACCGAACTGGAACGTCACGGGGACGACGAAGGCGTCATCAAAACCGTTGTCTCGGATCACTCACCCTGCACACCCGATCTCAAACATCTTCCTGCGCACATTCCCCCAGGAGAAGCTGACAGCACCCACAACGGCAGCTTTCTATCCGCCTGGGGTGGTATCTCTTCCGTAGGCCTGGGCCTTCCCATCCTCTGGACAGAACTCAGCCGTCGCAAGGGCCTTACTGCCGCACCCGACGACGCCAACACCAAACGTGCTCTCCAGGATATCGTGCGTCTCTGCTGCGCCAACACCGCCGCCCAGGTCGGTCTGCAATCACGAAAGGGTGACTTGGTCCCCGGCTACGACGCGGATATCTGCGTATTCGACGACACGGCTGAATGGACCGTCGAACCCAACACCATGCTCTTCCGCAACAAATGCTCGCCATACCAGGGTCGTGTCCTTCGCGGTATGGTCCGCGAAACCTGGCTCCGCGGTGAAAAGGTGTTCAGTCGGGATGCGGGGTTCAGTAACAAGACTCCTTCGGGTAGTCTCCTGTTGGAGAAACGGGTTTGACCCTATCGTCCCCTCGTTTCTTTTTACTTAATTTCCTTTTCTTTCTCCCTTCGTTTGTCCCATTCGATCGACGGGACTGTTGACAAAGTTACAGTCAACTTTTCGAGACGACCACTTTGACATTCGACATGATTTGACGACATAATGATCTTGGTTATGGCTCCTTGTTATGACTCTCGTTATGATCGCTAATAACTCGGCAGATAGCATATAGATCATAGCGTAGGTATTTTGTTTAGATTAGATTTAATAGCTTCATTTTATGGAATATCTCTCGTTCAACTCAGTAACTGGGTCAAATAGAGCTTACTAACAGGACTTTCCATTGACAAAGCCTCGCCCTCGTATGCTCCCATCGACTTATTCCCCTTTAGTCACATAACCAGACTTCCCATAAAGACAGGCCCAACCCTAACCAGCTGCATAATCGAGTACAAATCCAATAGATGCAGATAGGCTACCCACAAATGGTATGGTTTCAATTTTCGCATGAGTATTTGCCGTCGATTTCAGCTGGAGAGACTTCTTCAGACAGAAAAAACGCCTGGCTGCCTCCAAGTGCGGTCCGCAACGCTGTGTCAAAATCACATCGAAAGAGGGGGCACCCTTTTATCCGAATCGCTTTATTATGAGCTGGGTTAAATACAGCCCAGTGCCTGTTCTGGGGATTCGGAGACCGGCTTGGTCCAACGCTGGCTTGCACTCTTAACAACTGCGAAAGCATCACGTTGCACTGTACAAGTGGTGACATAATATTCAGCCCAAAGCCGAAGTAACCAACTCAACCACACTCTAACAAGTTATTTCAGGGCACCTGCCCTTAATGAAACGGAAGGAATACGCGGGGTATTCCTCCAAATTGATGCACCTCTCCTGTTCCCCCGGAATCCCGTCGATACAGCTCGACTCGCAGTCGCAGGTTTCGCCCGGCGAAGCGATAAGAGCTTTGGCTCCGAAGGTAAAGAGCCCGTGCAGCTTGACCGACTTCCTTCCGACCTGTCTCAAGCTGTCCGGATTGTCAATCGCAACTGAAATTCCGCAATTTTCGCTGCAGTTCGTGTCACTGCAAAACTGGGCCCATCCCTCCGCTTGGGGGGGGTGGTGTTCGCCGAGGCACCGATAGAGATAGCGGCGAGGACGATGGCGGTATCCATGATTTTCATGGTGAAGTGCATCTATGAGAAGTATTTATTAGTACGAGTACTCGTTGAAATGAAGATAGAAAGGAATGGAGCAGGAAAGCATACCTTGTTAGAAAGAACTGAAGCTTCAGGTGTCAAAGGTCCCCTTGGATGGTGGATCTTTCCTTCAAGATTGTTGGGAACTCACTAGGGATTGGACTATGGGTATGAAAAGAAGAGAAAAGAAGAAGGAAGAGTGTGGGAAAGAAGGGCTCTTATATAGACCAGCATCCAGGAATTCATTCATTGTTAACTCCATGGAACTGTTTAAAAACAGGGCGTTTAACTAAAGGAAGTCCTTGAAAATAATTCACTAAGCATTTAATGCTTCCATCTCGCATTGTAGCTATCGGGACTGCGGTCCTTTTATATAGCACTGGATGCTGGCAATGGACAACGCCCCCTAAGCCCTATGACGATGAGATATATAGAAAAATGATGGGTTGTACAAAGGAACGATGCCAGAGGCTAGATGATATATAGATGATAATAAAGAAAGATGGTATATTGATGCAGAGAACTAAAATACAGATAGGTGACATAGCCATATTTATCAATCATCGCATAAAGAAAGCATCTATCCAGAGCGTTCCGTATAGCTGCAAGAAGAGCAAGCATTCTGTTTGAGTACAAACGGATATATGCCTACAATATACGCGGATTCCTGAATATGTCATTCTCGGTGTGCTGAGCCTATGCTAAATGTATCTGGTCTCCAATCTACAATCATGGACAGGTGAGAAGTTCTTAGGATGTCTCTGGACCAATTGAGCAATAGTGACATTCAGATATTTATACTCCATGCTGAACGGGAGACTATTTATTCAAACGACTGAAGTACGAAAGCGCAAGATACTGTAAAAACGATGATCTAGAGGGGATATATGCGTGGGAAAACAGCCATTGGACGCTACGCAACGTGACGAGATGGTATAGTATGCTCCGTTGTTTTTATTCCAGTAGATATCTACTCTCTATTCTGCTTGGGTAGTCACGCCCTTCCCTTCTTGCCCCTTCTCCTGCTCCTTCTCCTGCTCCTCCCATTTCTCCCTCACTCTCCTCCGTAACCCTCCATTCGCACCACGACCCCAAATCTTCTCCTCATCCTTATCCACCATCTGTTGACCATCAGCCTCAGCCTCCTCAGACCTCCCGCCAACCCGCTCACTCCCAACAACCTCCCTCCTCTCCCTCATCCTCTTCTCCTTAACCCTCGCATCCTCCGCCTTCCCCAAATAAATAGCATAAATGATCACCTCCGCCAACCCAACAAGCAGCGCCACAAAAAGACTCAACAACACGCGCACCGGCTCCGACGCCCCACGCACATCCCTCCCCCTCCACGCACTCGCAACAGTCGAAGTAAGTATATCCGGTGTCGAGAATTTGCTCAGTGCCCAGTATGTGCTGAATCCTGTCAGGAGCACGGAGAGGAAGATGTTTAGGACGAGGGAGGGGGTTAAGGGGTCTTTGCCGGAGGTGTCGGAGGTGTTTGGGTCGTGGATCGCGGAGACGATGGGTGTCGTGGAGGTGAAGATTGGTGATGGGCCTTTGGTTGTTGAGGTTGAGGAGGTCATGCGGTTGTAGGCGTCTGCCTCGACGGCGGCGAGGAGGCGGGCTTTTTGGGCGATGTATTCGGGGGTCTATATTCGTTAGCACATTGCCAAAAGTTTTTGATTACTTTGATGAAGCAAGAACGTACAGGTTCTGGCTTATTGGGCGGCGGAGGCACGTAGACCTTCGTCCCGTGAAGGAGCGAGTTCAAGGATGTCGGGGTGTTGCTGTCGCCATCGTGGCCGTCTGGATTGCTTTTCAGGTAACGCGATAACCCAATCAATTGCTCATGAGAGATTGGAGAGTTCAAATTCAAAGAGTCCGGAAGGTCGAGGTCCTTGCGACGAGACTCTGGAATGGCCTCAATCGCGGAGAGGATGCGGGTGGTGATGACGAGTTGGACCATGCTGTGAGGCTCAAATGCGATGGTAGAATAGAAGGGGTATAGAAGGACTGGTCAATTAATTCATTTCTGGCACATTTATAAAGTGCAGGCCACGGTGATAGTGATAGTAAAGAGAAATTGATACTCTCCGATACTTGTCGAAAGGAACCTTTCCCGATCGGGAAAAAGAGCTCCCCACGCGATGCTGTCACCGAATGGCTCGTCGCCGCTCTCCTCACCATTCCACCTCTCTATCCTCTCGCTCTCCCTCCCATTCCCTCTATTCAATAGATCTTGGAGTCGAGCCTGTCTGCCGGCTCCCCATCCCATCACAATGGCAGACAAATCCACCTCAAGGTGAGCGAAAAAATATCACTGCCCCTCCTCCCTCCTCCCTCCTCACCCATGCCATCCCCATATCAAAACAAACCAGATATCTAACAACGACTAGCACAGTAACCGCTCAAACCAACCCCCGCGGAATCCCCGTCGCCCCCTTCGTCGACAACGTCGCCGAATACGTCGCCTCCCGCGAAGATGTCGAGCCCACCCTGCGCCGCTTCCAGGAGATGATCTCCAAATACCAGTTCATGGAAGTCAACGCGCAACGGCGCGCAGTTGGCCTTCGTGACAAGATCCCCGATATCAAGAAGACGTTGGAGATGGTTCGGTTTTTGAAGATGAGGAGGGAGGTACGTTACCACCCACTCAGCCAACATGGGAATCCATGGACAAATAAGCCAGGATACTGATGAAGGGGAAAAGTCAACCGAATCCAACCTCGACACAAGCTTCGAACTAAACGATACCCTCTACGCCCGCGCTTCGATCTCGCCCGCTGACACTGAGGAAGTGTACCTCTGGCTCGGCGCTAATGTGATGCTGGCCTATCCCATTGGTGAAGCAGAGGAGATGCTACAAGAGAAACTTTCTGCGGCGCAGCTGTCGCTGTCGAATTGTGAGGAGGATCAGGAGTTTTTGAGGGAGCAGATTACGGTATGTCCACGTCCACGTTTATTCTTTTCGATTTGCGTTTTTGTGGCTTGTATTGATGGTTTTAGACCCTGGAGGTTGCGACTGCTCGTGTGTACAACTGGGATGTTGTGCAGCGGAGGAAAGATAAGGCAGATGGGAAAGGTGATGATAACCCTGAGAAGCCGGGTGGTTAGATTGGTGTATTATAGGCGCAAATTCAGATCCATTTCTTTGGTTGCTTTCCTCTTGTGTATTCATTTTATGCAAGGCGAGCGTAGACAAGATCAAATCATTCCACAGGATAAGTTGTCAAAATCGGGTTTCTATTGTATCCAAAGGCCATGAAAGCACTATAGTGGATATATATTCGTCTATGTTGACACAAGTATATAGCCATACCAAAGCACGCCAACACAACATGAGGAAAGGAAAGAGAAAGATTCCAATTATGAATTATAGATAACTGCTGTACCATCGAAAACGGAAATGAAACCACCATGTATCAACTCGATTAATCATCATCATCATCATCATCATGCGTCAATATCAATCTTGCAGAGCTGGTAATAACCACCCAATTAAAGCGGAATCCAGCGATTGTAAGATAAAATGAAGAGAAGAGGGCCGCATAACTCCCAGCTCGCTCTGTATGCAATATGAAATGAGATAAAACAAGGCTCAAGTTCAAAAGATCTAGGCCTGCCAAACAAAAGAAAAACCGATGAAAAAGAAATAACTGATAACATAATGTTCATGTCGTAAATCGTTATGTCCATCGTATAAGGTAAATCAATCTCGTGAGTAGTCGGTCATTGAAAGTCCTAGAACTAAGACTCCCCAACTCCAATGTTTTCATGCAACCGACCAGGCAACATATCAATGTCGGAAATGGCTCTATCCCGCACTCTCTTGGAGATATCAATGTCCGTGTCATCGCCGACAAACGTCCATTCTTCAATGTCATCAAGATCGTCACTAGCCTCCGGCTCGTCCGCATTCTTGGGAGATGGCTTCGGTGAGAAGGGTGTGGACGATGCAATCGAGCGTTGTCGGGCAAGGGTTTTGGCGTATTCGAGATCACGGTAGATGGCTTGGATGGCGGTGCCAACTCCATCTTCCTGTAGAACAGCATTAGCAAACATTCATTAGAAAGTAAAGGGGGCTAGACTTACGCTTCGGATCTGTGCACCCAAGTCACGGGCCTTGACAATCATCCGTTCACTATGAGTGGCCTCCCATAGTGCCCTCGAGAACACGCTGACGTTCAACTTCTTCATGCAAATTCCCACACCCAAGTCCTCCACCCGGGTTCCAAAGAAGAACTGGTCCCCAAAGAACGGCTTGATAATCGTCGGAACGCCAGCGCGCAAACTTGCCCCAGTCGTCCCAGCTCCACCATGATGGGCAGCAGCATCGATCTGCGAGAATAGCCAGTCATGCGGTGCAGCCTGTATTTGAAAAATCTCAGGTGGCAGAGGGACTTCCACTTTCACGCTGCCAGGGTCTCCAAGACGATCTGACCATCCCTTTGAAAGGATGCAGCGAACATCAGCTTTCTGGACAGACTCTATGACAGTCCGCGTCAGCGCTTGCGGGTCTGAAACGACAATCGATCCGAATCCGATATACACTATCTTTTTGCCGTCTGCACGGGCACTTTGAATGAATCCAGTAAGCTCCGCTGGTGGCGTCCAATCGGACCTTTCGCTGAGAAACCAATAGCCAGTAATGCGGATCCAATCAGGGTAATCGAGAGGCGGCACGACAACCGACGGCGAATAATTGTAGAGAAACGGGACCTTGTTTGGTTGCATCCTGTCCAGAGTAGTTGCCTTTAAGCCGAGCTCGTTGTTCCTCCATCGGTTCACTTGCCCTGCAATCGCCTTCCAGAATACGGTATCGAACATCACGTACGTGATGTAGTTGTAAGCACCGCCTAGCTTGTTCTCCGGAACAGCAAACGCATGGGGATATGCCCGTGTTCTCGACCAAGGCATAGTGAACGCACGGAAGTAAGGGATCTGGAGCGCTTCCGCAATGTGTATTCCCGCCATCGCGCTCGGGGATTCGATCAAAAGGTCACTGTCCTGACAACTTGTCCACGCAGATGACAGGAGATCATCAATCCAACCTCGGAACTTCGACGATGCTTCTTTAAGGAACGAATATGTGAACATCCCATTCTCCACACAAATGCGCATGAGCTCGGCTGGATCTCCATCAACAGGAGCAAAGTCAATCCCATGCTTCCTCACCCAGGGCTCAAACTCTGCGTGCGTTGCGATCTTGGGCCTGTGCCCTTCTGCGATAAATCCCTTACACAAGGCAATATATGGCTGCACGTCTCCACGAGAACCAATGGTCAAACATGTGATTCTCAACGACTCCGTTGGCTTGAAGTTAATTATCGATGCACGAGGATCATCGAAAATCGGATTGAGCTCTGAAGAGCCGTTTAGCGAACCGCGCGATTCAAGCTCGTCTGCACCACCACCACCACCACCACCAAGTCTAGCTTCCTGTAGCATGAGATGCTCGGCCTGTGCAGCCTCCGATTCGTCTTGTTCTTGCTCCGCAAGGATACCAGATTCCATCAAGAACTTGGCAGCCTCGAGATGCTGATGAAGGGTCACCGCACAATCGTCTCGAGAGTCAGACGTGTTGAACTCAAAGAAAAGCTCCTCATGACCCCGAATAATGACCACAAGTCCCTGATAGCCGAATCTAAACCCTTTCTCCTTCTCCACATTCTCAACATCCTTAAGTGGCAAGACCATCTTCGTTCGAGTGCCTGGAATAAGACTGCGGAAGCAAAGCTTCTTCTGGCTAATGTAGATTTTGCCATAAAGCGGGAGCACCCTATGCAGATATGCATAATAGGTAGCCTGGAGCTTTTCCGACGGCGGTAAGGCAAAATGAGCGCGGAAACGATCACCGTATTTGCAGCCATCCTCCTTGTCTTCGGGATCGACAGCTTGGTCCTCTGAGATAATTCCTTCACTTTCGCCGTAATGCCTTCCACCACCGACCCACATTCCAGAGACCTTTTCAAGGTAGCCCATCGACTCTGTTGCCAAAAGGTTGCTCATCGCCTTTGATCGAGTCCTTAGATATCCGGCAAGCCCTGCGGCGCGCTGGAGGGGATAGACGCCAGCTTTCACAAGCTCGTTCAGAGAGGCAGTAGACGATTGGACCTTGGAAGGATCCTGTGCGGCTTGATCGATCCCGTTGTGCTGAGCTTCGAGATCGTCCTTTCTTGGAGAGAATGAATGACTGGCGTGTGGGGATGTGAAACGAGCTGTATCATCAGAGTACCGACGAGCAGTAACGCCCTCTGCATCAGAAGGCTTCCTTCCCAGGCTGTGTATCGTAGGGGCTTGGAAGACATCACTGCGGTTTAGGATCTGGCTTGCAGATTCCGCTGTGTTCGAGTGCCAGAAAGGCGACTCGCTCTCTTGGTCGATAGAATTGCCAAGCATCCCAGACGAGTCCTGTTGTTTTACTGGCGGGGACTTGTCTAGTATGCCATGGCCGACACTGCTGAAATGACTTCCACTCACGCTCCTCCGACGCCTGCCAGTTTGGTCATAATCTGGGAGTCCACTCCCACTGGCTATTGACAATCTGTTCCGGGCATGGCCTCGCTGGGGTGATGGGAGCTGCGAAGCACGGTTGCTTGACACTTCACTAGCCAGACCTTTCAGGAACTCGAAAGCTTCCTGGCCAAACTCGAAGAACGTGAAGAAGTACTGCAAATTATTAGCCACTGAACAACAATTGCTTTACCAAGGGAGTCAATGTTACATACCTCGTCGATTGCATATGTGTCACCACTGTCGAGCACTCGAATCTTCAGCGTCTCCGCGAACTCCGCCATAGGACTCTCCTCGATGTCTATTACGTTCTCAATTGGGAATGACACCTTGACGCTGTCGCCATCATTGTGGGTTCGGAAGATGACTTTCTGGAGAGCTTTCACCCATTCCTTGGCACTAGCAGGGCTGTCTGCCCTAAAGTAGTATGTCCGCTGATCGGTGGTGACTTGGAAGTCCTTCGTTTCTTTCCCTTTGTCCTTTTCAGATAACGACGCGGAGATCCCATATCGCAAGTCGACGTGTCCGCTGGGGAAGTAAAGATTCGACGGGTCTGCATAGTAGGAGAGGACGTCTCCTTTCAATGAAAACCAATACCGGGTATACTTAGGGCTTTTCTTGCCACTTTTGTAGAGATACCCGGATTTGATGGCAACTGTCGACTTCTTGGGAAGGTAGGCATAAAAGCAAATATGTCCTTCGGTGACATACATATAACCTTGTAAGAGCATGCTCTGCAGCAAAGCACAGGCGTACTCGACAACCACCTTCTCCGGTTTCTGGAAGCCAAACATTTCCATCAAACGGGTTGACAGCAGCGACGCAGACTGCTCTTCGGCATCGTTCTGTGTGTTCTCTTCGGGTTCGGGCTGTGGACGTTCCGTGGACGGAGTTTTCTCGAGGCGCGCTTTGGCTTCGACCATCCGACTAAGTACCGGGGCCGCTCTGGGTGTTGCACTCCGGGGTCGCCTGGGTGGCGTAATCCGATGCGAACCCACCGTCTGACTGGCAGACATGTTCCCTCCTCCGTGCTTGAGATTCAGTCTCTCAAGAGGACTCCAGAGCTTTTTCTCCGATATCGTTCTCCGATGACTCCGCCCTCGCTCCTCCAATGTACTCTGTGGCCCTTCCTCTGGTATCCCGGCTTCCCTTCGTCTATCAGACGATCTGTCTTTCTGCTGACGTTCTTCCCCTTCCCCTTCGCTCTCACTCGATTCGTCAAACCGTGTGTGGAAATCCGACCTGGAACCGACAGCAGCAATCATAGAAAATATCGACTGTTGCATGTAGTGCATGTGACCATCTTTCGACCCAGAAACACCAGGAGGAGCTGTAAAGTCAACCTGTGCATCGTCGCCGTCGTGTTTCAGTCGTTCCGGTAAAGGATGCGAATAAAGACGGGTTGTAGATTTCGATTTCTTGCCGGGACTGAGCCGCTGCTCTAGTCGTCGTTGCGTATCGTCCCGAAGCGCCATCGCGGAGGAAGTGTGGTCAGGGTGGATAATTAAAAAGAAAAGTGAATGAGGATATGCAGAGATGGATATAGTACAAGTCGAAAGAGGTCCTGATGTAGACAGGTGACAGACACAAACAGGTGTTGGCTACGATCCAAGGGAGTTAGTTGAGCGGTATGCGGTCTTGTATTGGCGACGAACAAGTCAGATGCGGCAACAAAGAAGGACCTGGCAAGGCTGTGTAGCAGATGATTGCAGTCATTAGCATGGATGTTATTCGTCGAGAAAGCCTATGAAAGAATCAAATGTACTCACAATGGTATTCACAGACACCTTGCTAGCTAACTGATAAGCCGCCGCCGTTGAAAGATGGAGACTCAGTTATCAGAAAGGGAGGCGGATAAGACGGACAGCGATTAAGACATCACCACGGAAGACATCTCTCAGACACGAAAAGAATGAAGACAAGGTGAGGAAGCCGGTGACCAAAACAACGACGAAGAGGAAAAAAGAAAATACATTGAGGGAATCGACAGGGTGACAACGGCGTCTGGCGTCACTCGCCTGTATCAGCTGCTCGGGTGGAGGCGGCAACGGGCCAATCACGTAATGCGCATGTGATTGAAGATGGGGCTTGGTCCAATCATAGATCGCGCCACTTCTGGAGTGCTGAGTCAACATTTGTGGTGTTGTAAGTTAACTACATTGTAAGTTACAGTACCATCCTGCATTCTGTGATACAGATATTGCTGGTATTTATGTATGTCTGTGCTGGATGTTCTAAGAATACAAGGAGACTGGCTTGATCACTTTGAAGATCTAATGTTACTGCATTATGGGGACTGGGTCGGATCATGTCAGATTGATCGACCCGATACGGTGGGCCGATATGAGAGTCTGATATGGAGTTTAGATACCACCCCGAAGAGAGTCAGTTACTTGAAATGCTATAAAAGCAGTCTGAATAAGCCAATGCATTCTAGCAGACTAGGTATGTACAGTAATTTACAACCAAAAAAAAAACCAATTCATACGCCATGATGCATTAAGATACAAACAATCCCCATCTATATCAACTTTTGGAAGCACAGATGAAATGTCCTGACAAAGCCATGCTCAAGCCTTTTCTGTCTTTTTCCGCTTCTTCTCATCCTTACTCTTGCTGGACTTTTTCTTCTCGGTCTTCTCGTCGACGTCCATCTTGTCACCAGATGAATGCTTCTTCGACTTCTTCCGGGGAGCTGCGGTTGCTTGGGTGCTGTCTCCCTCAGTGTGGTGATGTTTCCGCTTCCGCTCTTCCTTCTCAGAAGAGCCCTTGGGAACCTTGAATTTCGGCTTCTCGTCCTCCCCCTCTGATTCAGAGCTACCAAGCGTCTCCGCGGGACCGTCTCCACTTCCCACAGGCCGGAAGCGCATCTTCAGGTTCTTGGGTTGTGTCCTCGGGGGCTTTTCGTAATCCTGCGCCGCTATCGATGTCGGGCCGTTGCTCTCCGGGATACTGATCAATTCCTGAACATGGTAGCTTTGGACGTTACTCGCAGGCGTGCCGTGGTATTTCTGGGTCTTCGGGTCGTGAAGAAAGAGTGTCTTCCCGTCCGCTTCGGTCTGGCTGATGCTGTCCGCTGGTATCCCATAGTTCACGCCGTCATGTTTCAAGACCGGCTCGCCTTGCATGACCTTGGCGAGTGAGATATCTTTCACTTTCGAGAGAGGGAGGAATGATGGGGCGGTGATGTGGAAGACCTGCTTGCCGCGGAGGTTGGAGAGGATGGACGAGACGTTGGAGGATGAGGACTGCTTTTTCGCGGACTTGAAGCCCAATGGTGGTTTGAAGGCTTTCGGTTCGATAAACGAGACATTGGACCTTTTTCAAGCAACAGATGTTAGTCGCGGACCCAACCACCAATCCCATAGTTTCTTTCTTACTTCTTCTTGGTAGGTTCTTCGCTCTTTTCTTCCTCCTTCGGGGCCTTCCCCTCACTTTCGCTTTCGCTTTCACTTTCACTAGCACTCTCGCCGCTCTCGCTGGAGGCGTCCGAACCGCTCTCCGACTCTGATTTTCCGCTAGACGACTCTTCGGCTTCCTGCTTCACGTTGGCCGGAGAAGACGATCTGCTCGATCCGCTCGATCCGCTCTCTTCGCTTTCCGACGCCGGCGACGACGACCTGGGATCTTGCTTGACCACAGCCATTGTGTTGATCAAGAAGGTGTGTTGTGAGGTATAGCAGCAGTCGTAAGTTTAAAGAAAAAAATTGCTTCCGCTGCGATGATGCGGAGAGCCAAGAATTCGCAAAAGGTTCTGGTTTTGAATATCCCAGGCCAATTCAAAGATGATTGTAACAAATAAATTTTAAGCAAAATTAATACAATAACCCCCAGCTTAGACAAAGTCCAGTCGCAGCGCAGGGCCCGTTTGTTGCGAAGTTGCTTGTCGGAGACGATGACTTTTTTTTCTGTCCGCGGAAGCACAGACCACCACCGCCAAAGACCCGCCGATGAAATATTATCATCGCAAAAAAGGTGCCGGTCACATTTTACCATGAAGCATTCTGGAGGTCACAGCCTCAATTCCAAAGAAGACAAAATGAAGCGAAAAGCAGAAAAGCAACAACAAGCCGGTACAGTTTCGTCTCCCTATTGTTTGCGTGCGGTGACTTGCAAAAAACTAACTTGATTTTTTCTAGCAGCACCAGCAGTGCCGGTTAGCGCATTCGCAGCACGCAAAGCTCGACAACAGCAGCAGCACCAGTCGCAGCAGGAGGATGTTGTGATTACGGTGAATAAGGCATTGGAGCTCGAATCGCAAAGAGAACCCCCGTCTAAGAAGGCGCGACGTCTGTCCGAGAAAGAGGAGAGTACGCCGCAGTCCGCCGCGGGAGAGAATTATGGTCAGGAACGACTGGCTTTGCGGAAGAAGAAGGACTCTGGGAAGGCCAAGAAGTCTGCGGATACACCATCGAAATCAAGGGAGGAAGCTCGTACGGTCAAGAAGGAGGTTCCTGGGATAGAATCGGAGATTGAGCAGACGAGTGTGATGGAGGCGAATCCTGATGATGCTGTTGCTTCGATCAATGGTGATGCTGATGGGTATTGTATACATGTTATTGGTCCTGGTACGGCCGGCTAACAATCGCAGATACGAATCCCCAACAATACCTGCAGAGATCCAGAACTTCCCTCTCTCCAAGACACGATTGAACAAGAACAACATCGTCTACAGCGATGAACATAAACTGTGTGTCCGCATCAAAGAGAAGATGGTACGATAAGAGAACCCCCAATTGCAGGTGTACAACACTGACATTGTCCAGAACCTCACTTTGCTTGGACACTACGACCTCTGGGTGAAACGCGGAGTGATCAGTTTGATGGGGGCCAAATTGCACCTGTCTCCTCGTGTCTATCGAGTCTACGCTCCTTCGACACACTCGTTGCCTGTGATCAAGTGCGTTGCTGGTGTGGAGGGCGAGGCGGAAATCGAGATCAAGTCTTGCCATAGCGGCATCTATCGCCTACGTGATGTCTCGCCGTTATATCAACGGATATGGAATGGCAATAATACGTCTGCTGATAAGCTCACTTTGAAAAATGCGCCGTCAAGCCACAAGAGGACGTTCTCAGTGGTAAGTTTCGTTTAGCCTTATCAACGGTTAGCGGTCTAACCCTCTCTAGTTGTATACATCTGCAGAGGACTCTATGAAACGGCACTTGAGACCCCTTCACCTCGAGAAACAGTGGAGCTCATCTATCAAGCACCTTTCCCAGCGAGGCGGACAGCTCCGAGCGCTGGTATGCGGTCCCAAGGCATCGGGAAAGTCTACGTTCAGTCGCTACCTCTTAAACCACCTCCTCAGCCCAGCACCACAAACCGAAGGTGCGCGCAGCAGCGCGGACGGTGTCGCATTCTTGGACCTGGACCCTGGGCAGCCGGAGTTCTCGCCCATGGGCCAGGTTTACTTGGCGCATTTACGCTCGCCGTTCTTCGGCCCCCCGTTTACTCACCCGTCGCTCGATAATCCTGCAGATGCATCTATAGTTCGGGCACATCACATCGGCGCAACGTCGCCGAAGGAAGACCCAGACCACTACGTACTTGCTGCTATGGACCTGATGGACCGGTATCGTGGTTTGTTGGCAAGTTACCCGCAATGTCCGCTTATCATCAACTACCCGGGGTGGATTTTTGGACTCGGGCTGGAGGTTGCAACATGGCTTGTGAAATCCCTTGGTCTGTCGGACGTCGTGTACATGAGCGAAAAGGGACCAGCTGAAGTGGTCGAGCCCCTCGGTCAAGCCGCGTACGAGGCGCGAATTCCCCTAATCACCCTGCCATCGCAGCCTACCGATTTCGTGAGCCGGTCAAGCGCGCAGCTGCGCACGATGCAGGTCCAGTCGTACTTCCACAAGACCCGGCCGCAAGCAGTGCAGAACCCCCTGTGGCTTGACACGCCAACGTCGCGCGCGCGGCCTATGCTCGTCGACTATGCCGGACCGCGGCAAGGGATTCGAGGTATCATGGTTATGGGATCTGAAATCCAGCCTGATATGCTGCACGACGCTCTCGATGGAAGCATCGTTGGGGTTGTGGCGGTGGAAACCCCCAACGCAATCATGGGCGAGACCGACTGTTCCCTTTGGAACGAGAACCCAGCAAATGCAGCTGCAGAAAACGAAGACGATACATCCGATATTGAAATGGACGGCTCAACACATCCAGCGCCCAGACAACCCGCCACCCCCAACGCAAGGACTAGCATGGAAACATACATCACGCGCACTGCAAACGAAGATCTCCCATACCTATTCGTCGGCTCCGGCAGCTGCAGCCCGCTCGATCCGAAAGCATCCCACTGTCTGGGCCTCGCATTAGTCAGATCCATCAACGCCAGCACCCGAAAACTCGAACTCGTCACGCCCATTCCCGGAGACCATATCCGTCATGCTATACAGCAGGGACATGGAATCGTGCTTGTCCGCGGACAGCTGGATAACCCCAACTGGGCGATCAGCGAGGAGTACTATGCCGCGCGAGCCGCAGCGCAACGCCACCAGCGTCGCATAGCCCAAGCGCGGAAAGCCAAGCACGACGACGAGGAAAAAGAAAAGAGCGGTAGTGATGACGATGACGATGACGGCGCGGCACTGGCCGTGACGGATAGTAAACAGCAGGCGCAAATAAGAGACAAACTGCAAGAGCGCATCCGACGAGCCAGTCAGGCGCCTTGGATCACGGTCATCGAAGATGATGGGAAACGGCAGCGCGAGGTGGCGCAACGAGAGCGCTCGCTATGGAAACTGCGGAAGAAGGCGTATCCCGGGAGTGGGAGTGAGATGGACTAGACGGTGTACATAACAAACATGATTCAATCCAGGCATATAACACGGAGTACTCCGCACTTTTCTAACAAATAAAGATGAATCCATCTCGATACGAGAGCCTCACAGGGATGCTGATCTGGTCCGGTGACGTAGAACTAGATAATTGCTTTTTGGGCTTGCACCCCGTACATGCATGAAGTACCAGGGACCGGGATAATGGATATGATCAGTCACGGCGAGATACGAGGTACTACTTGAGATATATTCGGTATGGAATGGCCTCAAAAATAGGGAATTCACATGGATATGTAATTAGTTGTGCAGATGCGATGGGGTTCTTGACTGGAGGGTCGGAATACATACAAGCACAGGACTGATATTGCAGTTGGATGTCATGTGAAGCCATGTGAGATGGGGCTGTACACTGCACTCTGTACATAGTAGAGAATTTCATGCAGAGTGCAATAGTACTATGTACAGTTCAGGGGTAACTACTGACCCGTACTCACATCGAGACTTCACGGGATGTGTTTGTTTATGTGTATCCAGCAGCAACACTCCGATCCGAATGCCTTATGCTTATACAAAGCAAAAAAAAAAAAAAAGCCTCGGGAATACCCAAAAGTCGGCCGAGTATTAGTCGGATGGTCAATGACGCGAATTTCATCCGGCCCGACGGTCAGTCAGCCACAACAGTGCAATAAAAGCGATTCAGTGCATTTTGCACTTGTTGTGCCTCTTAGCGCCAGGACGGAGCACACTAAGCCTTAGTCCAACGCCCAGTGGGACTGAAACTGACGGGGCAAACTCTCCTTGAGCCTGTGCCGTTCGGGACCGGTTCTGGAAGAGGTCTGTTAATAATCCAAGGCTAGCAAGTGGGAACCGAAGCGAGACAGGCTAGACATTGGTGCCTGACTTTGTGTATCTGTGCATAGCACTAGCACCAAGACGAAGGATGAAATGCAGGGAGCTATGGTCAACGGAGGAGATACTATTGTTGAGAGTACTCCGTACCGAACCGATGAACCGAGTTAAAATTGTCAATAACCGTTGAATATGCATAGACCAGTGTAGAGTGCAAAGGACAGAAGTTGAGGATAAAGTAGTATTCATACAGAATAATGTCTACGAGTACAAAACGTGGAAATTACCGGATTGGGCCCTGGGATCCAGGGCAGCGAACGCCACGTGGAGTAAGTTCAGAGAGTGTCGTGTGTCTGCTTGCCTGTTGTTGTTCTTGTAACTATATGCACACGAACAGAAGACGATCGATGTATAAAATACTAGAGTGTTCTGTATGTCACGACCAAATGTCCAATAATACCGGCCCTATTCCTGCTGATCCTTTTCTCCTGTCCATCCCAGCCCGGCTGGATGGAACGGCATTCCTCGGGATAATCGTAGAACGAACGCGACAATATCGAGTAACTCTCCGCGTGGCCATTTTCGGAAGACGACCATAACGAGGTTGATTCCGACAGATTCGTGGACAGACAAATCGGAAAGATGGGAATCACCTATACCACAGTAGTGTCTGTATACTGTTTGCGGCACGAGGACAGCCGCCAACGCTACCCCGGCCTGTTACAGAGAGAGAATAGACCGAAACCTCACCGGGAGGTAGACTTATTTCCTTTTCGCTCTCCGGTATCATTTTATTATTATTATTATATCAGTACAGAGTAGTGGTTTAATTGCTTATGGGCTCTGACCAGACTAATATTATTTATTATTGATTATTCTCCTACTGCGACCGGTGCAATCCCCACCGGGACTCCTTCCGACTTAACCTCTTCTGAAATCCCATTGTTTTTTTTTTTTTTTTTTTCCCCTTCTTTTCTGATTTAAAGAAGAACATTCCCCCAGATTCATTATTATTATTATTATTTTATCATATTCTTCGGGATTGGAATTCCACTTTCCAATCACCTGCATCTCTTGCACACTTGTACAGGACTCCTGCAGTGTGATAGTGATTGATTGATCCATCGATCGATCGATTCCCCGGGGGGGTTTCTTTTTCCTCGTACTCCCTGCCAGTACTTTTTTTTTTTAACTCTGTACGAAGTACTGTTCGCTTTTGCTCTCTTTCTTTTCTTCTTTTCTTCATTCTTGCTGCATAACACGCTATTTTCTTTAATCCTTCCTCAAATCTATTCTACTTCTTTTTTTATTCTATCTTCTACTCTCCACTTCCCGACCGGCTTACCATAATCGCCACTCTCCTCCGCGGTACTTGCATCATCGTCACCATTCTGACCCGTCCTCTCCTCTCTGGCCCTGCGTGGAAAGCATGTATCATGACAGTATTTTAATATGCTGTTTTGATCCTGCTAGACCGTAATTATCTGTGGAGATGGATTTTATTGTGAGTACCTTGTCTCCGTCTGCGAGAGCAATCGTCGCGTCGCATGCCTCTCTTCTTCCTCCTTTTTTGATATCCCCAATTCTAACAGAGCCGCTATCGCAACAGCTTTCCTTAACGCATTTTTGCGAGGTGCATGGCCCTACCTCGATCATCTGTTCCCAAGTCCTCCCTTTCTCCTGTTCGCAATGTTATCCCGATAAATACGACCTCTCCTCCGACGATACCCCCGCCACTCCCCATGATACCAAACCTCCTTCCTCCTCCCACGCCAAGCAAGATGAAGATTCCGCAGGCACATCTGCGACACCCAAGATCGAAGATCATCCCTACTTTATGAAAAGCAACCCCAATCCCGCCCCTGCTGAGCCACCAAAAGAGCGCCCCAGTCGTGCTGGCCCTGGCCCTGATGGTGGGGATACTTGCGCCAGTTGCAGTTTGACCCTTCCTGAGAAATTGAGCAAACAGCTCCCGCCTGGCGCACCCGGTACTACCACAGATGACGGTAAAGGGAAAAACGGAAGCCCCGTGTTTCGTTCCCGCGAAGTAGTCTACTCCTGCGGGAATAGCCATGGTGATTATGATGACAGCGCTCGCGACACTCAGACCTCCTTTTCCGAATCCATGCATTCCTCCTCTGTCGCATCGGATGCTTCGTCCTCTTGCCACACTCACATGCTTACATACCTCTCTTTGCGCGGTCCACCTAACCCCGCTGATTATGCTCTCCTGAGACGCTCCTCCATCCGCACACTCAGTTGCGAACTCCTGCCGCGCGGTTTGTCGTCTGGCCCTATTTGCTTTGGTGACTCCGTCGCCGGCTACACGATTGCTTACATCTTCCGTCTTCCCGATCCAATGGCGCGCGGTAAACGGCGCAGCTATGCCCTGGTGGCCCTTGCCGGAAAAGACGCCGGACGAGCATTCCGCGCATGTCCAATAATCTGGCGGGCTTTTGGTCGCATCGCCGCGAGCATCGTCAGCTCGGCGGAGAATTACCAGGAAGAAGAAAAGCGCCGCGAGGAGGAGCAAAATGGTGCCAGCCGGGCTGGTGGCCGTCAATACACTCCGGTCTCTTCTTTCCTGACCGGCCGCGCTCTGGACCCGGATGGCCAGCCTCGCCGCCTCGGTCAGATTCGCGCACGAAATCTAGCCGAAATCGCCGGGAATCCGTACATTTTTGCTGAACTACATGCGAATCTCACCGCCCTTCTCCAGCAGTTGGGTGCGATGTTTGGAGGTGCTCCCATTTCAGAGGACCAATTTGTTTGCAGCACTGTACGAGACGATGAGGCTTTTGCGCAGCGGCGTGTTTCCTTATCCAACGGGAAAGGTCAATCACAAGAGAAACAAGATGATGACCTTGGATTGTCCACGCTGGAGATTTCTGGTCCAAAGCCGATCCCAATCGCACCACGTCGAACGGTTATTGCATAAACCCGTCTCATTTCTTTATGAATCCCCCGACATACATACTCCTACTCAACTTGTCTGATCTCTTTGGGCCCTCCAACACTGGCCCCGTCATTGCCTCTGTTCGGGTATTGACCATTTTTGTACTTGTTCTATTTCCGATTTTTTGACAGTGTTCTGTATCGCATACGGTTTGGGTCTTTTTTGATGAGGGATCTGGTATAGACTATGGCGTCTTTTAGACATGGGACCGGAGTTTGTCTTTTCATTGTCAAGCGTACTTTTGCGGGGCTAGCGATCTTTTTTTTTTTTTTTTTTTTTTTTTTTTTTATCTTTCGTTTCATTTCTATTCTTGATTATGCTGGAACGCGAGCGCTCATGATGATACGAATGCCGTTACGAAGGCGACGACGCGCTTCTCCAGTCAATGTATTTTATATAGTTTTTTTTTTTTTTTTTTCTTTGGGTCTTGAATATGAATTTATCCAGCATTTATCCTCATCAAGAACTTTAGTCGAAACAAAAAGTACTAAGGGGTACATACACCCAATCTGACGTCGAAACCTGTCGGCTGAAGTCATGCGCGAACTCAATTCGTGCCACATGTGAGCCACATGTCAGATCGGATTACATATGATGTTATCCTGACTACTCTGTTAGTATACGGAGTATGTACTCCGTCGCTCAGAATTGGGCCGTTGTACATACTCCGTACTTCAAGCATAGTTCCCTAGGTTCGGCCCGCTTTTTGTGCATCTGCTCCGTCTGTACTAGAAGCATCGGTAGGATTTAGGCTCATCCTTTGACGCGACATGTGATTACATGTGATGTTGGACTTGGCGACGGCGATGTATGTCAATTGACTTTTCAGTTTATTTTCTTCCGATAGCCGTGTTGCTCACTTGGGGGTGTGGACAAAGTACGGTGATATCTTGGATATATATTTGTACCGCGGGTACTATGTTTTGGGTGATACGCCATGCAATGGGTATTGTTTAAAGAGCATGTAGTTGCGCGAAAATACTATATTCTTGACTACGTCGGAAAATTTATTATCACTAGGTGTTGCTTTACACATGCACATCATGCTGCATACACATAGGCGAGTCTTGTGCCAAGCCCTAAGCTGCAGTGTGGAAATGGGATGATTACCACGGGTATTGAGTATAACGAGCTATTCAGCGAGAATTTGGAACTAATCCTTAGGCATATGCTCAGATATGATAAAAGCAGGCATATTCTCTTGCATATAGAAAGAGAGAGAGAGATGTGAGGTGCAGGAAAAATACTCCACCATATGGTCACCTGACTCCCGGAAAAACCTACCGGAAAGGGCTTATTCCGCTCCGACCGCACCACCACCTCGAAAATTCGCACCACACAAGAACAAAACGACACACTTCATCCCGCTCTCTTTCACCCTCGCCCTCCCCGCCTCATTTGACCTGAATATTATACAAAAAGGGGAAGAAATCACTAAGAATTAATTAACCAAAGCACTTGACATATTAAAAAGGGCAAAATGGGTGTCACTTTTGACAAGTGCGAGACACGGCCGGCTCACATTGAAGCCATCCTCAACGGCCTTGACAGATACAACCCAGAGACTACGACAGTATTCCAGGACTATGTTTCTCAGCAGTGTGAGGAGCGGACGTTTGACTGTTATGCTAACCTGGCTCTTTTGAAGCTGTGAGTTTTCCCTCTACCTTTTGTTTTTGCGTTTGTGTGTTTTGTTCATATTTGGTTGCTCTCTCGCTGGCTGGCTGTGGGCTGTTTTTAGCCCTGACTGGAAGCGATTGAGAGCTTCTACCCTCCCTTTCCCTCCTCCCTTATAAAATAGTCTTGGACCTTTTTATGATGAAGTGGATATATATATTTTGTCTTCTTTTCCCGACAGAATAAGCCCTCGGGATAGTGTTGATCTTCCATGGCGCTGAGAAAGGCCCCTCGATTTGCAAATGCATTGAAGCCTGTAGCATCTGGATGTATGAATTTCATGTGCTAATCTGCGTGACTTAATAGATACCAATTCAACCCTCATCTCCTCCAGCCCGAGGTTGTCACCAACGTCCTCGCCAAGGCTCTCACCGTCTTCCCCTCCCCGGCTTTCTCTCTCTGCCTTGCTCTCCTCCCCGCACACACCCAGCCTTTCGCAGAAGCACAAAACACTTCTCAAACCTCCGACTTTGTCGAATCCGTCCAAAAACTCGCCCGCCTCTCCACCCTCCTCGAGTCTGCACAATACGCCCAGTTCTGGTCGACCCTGAACTCGGACGATCTGTACGCAGACCTTGTTGCCGATGTCGCCGGGTTTGAGGAGCTCGTGCGCATCCGCATTGCCATTGAGGTCGGCAAGACCTTCCGCCAGATCAACGCCGATGTGCTTGAGGCATGGCTTGACCTGAGAAATGGCGAAGCTCTTGAGAAGTTCGTCGCCGAGGTCTGCAACTGGGAGGTCGAGAAGTCCGGCCCCAGTGTTGTTGTTAAGGTGCCCACCAACAAAGAGAACGAGGCCCGCAGTGAAGTCAAGAGTGAACGCGTCGGCATCGAGCAGTTCGGCCGCGTGCTCAGACGGGGGTTTGAGCAGGCCGCATAAACCCTTTCCTTTCTCTTTTTCTCCTTTTTATCTCCCTAATTTTCTGGCATGTAAAAATTATTTGTCCTTTTTTCTTCTTTCCTCTGTGCTGATACCTTATCTTCGCCACCGAAAGAGCTATGTTTTCCCTTCACTTTCTAACTTTTCTTTTGCTTTACCTGGAAGAAAGCATGTGTATATGACGTCCATGAACGAGTCCAGAGAACCAAAATAATGACGATACGGGGATCAGAATTGGAGGGAGGCTGCCGGCGCAATTGGCGTTTTGCTTGTGTCGCATACCATTGTGATAGATTTGGGGAAGAAACGAAGTTTTTTGAAACATCTTCAACAACTTTTTGGGGTATTCGCTTTTCGCGTTTGCTTAGCACGGATGTCAAATTGCAATCCAGCCTTACAATGACTGTGGTTGTGCCGAAGAAGTGCTGATATTGAGGGGAGTTTTTACTCTGGCCAGCGACGTACTAGATTTGTGTCTTTGAGTGTCTTTTGATGCTGAGATGGCACACGTCCATTGAGGACCTGGAACATTATTATCGTAGTATAAACTGCGTAGCAATCTACATATGGACTTTTTTTTTTTCTTCTTAATACTACTTCTCCCGTGTGGCACTAGATTTAAACAAACCAGTGTATCATTTTCAACCAACATCATAATCATAAGCAAACATCTATGTACTTGAGTGTACTCTCTATACAGGGAACTCAAAATAAATCACTTCATCAACTCCTCCCACTGCACCCCAGCCCATTCCTCCCTCCAACCCGTAACACCAACCTCCTTCGGCCCACAGTCCTTCCCACAAACACCCAGGATAATCGTCCCCCATTCCATCCCCGCATCATCCTTAGCATCAAGCCCCAGCTTCTCTCTCCCATCTTCCAAAACGCTAATCGTGTGAGGCACAAGCTGCAGCTCAAACACACGCTCAGTACCACAGTATTCGCAGCGGGGGATCTTGCTGCTACCCTGACCACCAGCGGTCTTTACATGGCCCTGGTTTTGGTGGTGCGAGTGGTAAAGGCGTTTCCCGACGTCGTCGACGTAGGAGTACAGCAATGGCTCACCCTGGAATTCATACCGCAGGACTTGCTCCGGGTTATGCGCGAGACGGGTCGAGAAGCGCAGGAAGGCCTTGTCGAGCTCGGACTCGAAGGTATCTTTCAGTTCGGCGTCTTTGCCGCCGGCAGCAGCGGGGTCTTCGGTGTTGTCGATGGTGACGTTTTCGGGGATTGTGGGTGGGGTGCGGTCGAGGGTTTCGTAGTCGGCATCGAGGTAGTAGTTCGGATAGGGAGGGGGGAAAGCGGATTGGGAGGGCCAGGGGGTTAGGGGGCCGGATTCCTCGGGGGGTGTGGTTGGTTTGAAGTTTGATGGTGGGGTGGAGGGGAGTTTGTTGGGGGTTGAGATGCGGACTTTGTCGGCGAAGGATTCGGAGAGGTTGTTTGCTGTGGAAGGTGGTTTTGGTGCGGTGCTGGGCGCGGGTGTTGCGAAGGGGTTGGCGTTGTCGCCGGCCTGCGACGAGAATGGATTAGCGTTCGCAGAGATGTTGCCGGTGAGAGCGCCGGCTCCGAACAGACTAGCGCCCAAGTCTTGCTTGGGAGGAGCCTGGGTAGGTTCCTGCGCCTCATCTTCCTTCTTCTCGTCGGATTCCGCCTCCTTGTTCTCTTCCAGCTCCTCAATATTCACCTTCTTCGTTGCGCGCAGAGCCCTAACACTGCCCGGCTTGCGGACACATGCCTTCCTCGAACAACCAAAAATATACAGCCGCCGCTCATTAGCGGGAAAGTCAGCGGGAAGATCGCCGTGCAATTCGAGGAGGAGCGCCATGGGACGACTGCAGACTTTGCAGTTGGCGAATTCGCCCGGAGGCGGGGTAGCGTCGTCGGGCCATGACTGCGATAGATAGTCAACAGGTGATCTTTATTCGATTTTTGAAGTTCTGAGAGTGAATCCACGTACAGGCCAGCCTCCAAGATGACTGATTGTGTCTTCTATGAGTTCTTCTGAGGGGTAGCCCAGGAGGGTTGCGGTCTCGGTGAAGTCCTCGTCTTCGAGGGAGGAGTCGCTGTCGTATGGATCCATTGTGCTGTTGGTGTAGCTCAGACGGGCGATGTGACCGAGATGTAGAGTATGGACGTCCTTTCTCTCGAGGAAAGAGGCTTCAGAATACCTCGATGTATGTTTGGTGGTGACCTCCAAAAAAAAAAAAAAAAGAATGCGATAAGCGATAGCCGCCTCTATTCCAAATCGGGAATAGCGTGATACCAACGGGCAGCATACAACGCCATATGTACCGCCATCGCTTCAATCGACTCTTAATAAGCTTCTCAATAGCTTCATCTTCATGTCTCATACTCATCTCTGTTGAATCTCTATGAACATCTATTCTATAAGTGGCTGTCATTTTCGTTGATACTAATAGCTGCTGCGACCCTTATGAGATCACATATCGATTTCGAAGAATAGCTCATCGACAGCTTAGGCAAGATGGCTCTCCATAGACACGCCACTTCTTTGATGCTTTCTCGATTATTCCTAATTTATCAAGTGATACTCCTCCTCATTCCATTCAGTAACGCAGATGATCAGCAACCTCTACATGCAACGGCAGAAGCTACCCCGAAACGGGTGGCAGTGATCGGTGAGATCCAGTTCTATACAATATCAATCGCTATCAACTGACAATATACAGGAGCCGGAGCCGCAGGCTCATCCAACGCCTACTTCCTGCGCAAATACGCAGAATCCTCCCAAACACCCGTTGACGTCACCGTTTTCGAACGGTCCTCGTACATCGGCGGCCGTTCGACAACAGTAGATGTCTTCGATAACCCAGCATACCCCGTCGAACTAGGCGCCTCGATCTTCGTGGAAGTCAACTACAACCTCGTGAATGCATCCAGGGACCTCGGGCTTGTAGCCCAGGGCGCCGATATCGCCCGGCCTAAGGAGTCTGACGATAGCATTGGCATCTGGGACGGGAAGGAGTTCGTGGTCACGTTACAGAACACAAGCAGCTGGTGGAATATCGGCAAGATACTCTGGCGATATTGGCTTGCGCCGATAAAGGCGCAGAATCTGATGAAAAGTACTGTGAAGAAGTTCCTCAGTCTGTACGAGGAGCCTATGTTTCCGTTCCCGTCGCTCTCTGATGCTGCAGAGAAAGTCGGCTTGCTGAATGCCACTGCGTCTCCCGGAGAGGACTTCCTTGAGAGGAATGGCATCTCGGCTGATTTTGGCCGGGAAGTCATCCAAGCCAGCACGCGGGTCAACTACGGACAGAACCTTCCACAGATCCACGGCTTGGAGACCATGGTCTGCATGGCCGCAGAGGGAGCCGTCTCCATCGAAGGCGGGAACTGGCGCATCTTCGACGGGATGCTGAAGTCGTCCAGCGCAGACGTCAAACTCAACACGACCGTGACGTCCATCGAGCGCAACAATGTCGACGACACCCTCACCATCAAGTCCGTTTCGGAAGACCACGCAAATAAAAAGCAGGAACACTCCAATAACGTCTTCGACGAAGTCGTCATTGCTGGCCCCTTGCAGTACTCCGGCATCCATATCTCCCCACCACTCGAACACACCCCAGATGAAATCCCATATGTCACACTCCATGTGACGCTATTCTCCTCGCCCCACAAACTCTCTCCGCAATTCTTCGGCTTGGGTCCCAACGAGCAAACACCCGAAACGATCCTCACCACGCTCCCCAAAGAAACGAACCTAGGGACCGAAAAGCCAGGCGCAGGACCCGCAGGTTTCTGGAGTATCAGTTCCCTACGAACCGTAACGACAGAAAACAACGAACGCCACTACGTCTACAAGATATTCTCCCCGGAACGACTGACAGGCGAGTTTGTCGCGCAAGTTCTAGGATTTCAGAACTCTACTGCCGTCAATGGCGAGTCGACAATCGCTGACCTCCCCAAGACTGACATCAGCTGGTTCCATGAGAAGATCTGGCATCCGTATCCGTTTTTGTATCCGCGGGTGACATTTGAAGAGCCCAATGTTGCGCCGAATCTTTGGTACACGGGTGGGATTGAGAGTTTCATCTCGACTATGGAGACAAGTTCGTTGATGGGGAAGAATGTAGCTGCGTTGATGGTGCAGTCGTGGAAGGGTCAAGATACTACCTCGTCTGATGAACAGGGCAGGGATGATCTGTGAATGATTGTCAAGTTGTTTCACGATTTACGACATGCCTGAACAAACACATTTCTACTCTTTCTACTTGTCCATTACTTAGCATAGCACAAATCAAGAAAGGAACTCTGAAGGATCAAGATGAATTGATTAGATTCCCCAAATATGAGGTTGAACTTTTATATGCAAATAGCCGTCGCTGTGTTGAAGAAACTCATTTCACATAAACGTATCCCATACATATCCCATACATATCCCATGACCCGCGTATGGTTGAAAAAGCAGACCGGTACCCCTGTACAAAACCCCTTTGAAAAGCACAAATTTTTCGCCCTTTCTAGCAACCCAAACAATGATGTTGAATAAAAGAAAAATAGATGCAAAAGGAAATAAAAGAAGAAAGAAAACGTGATATATAACCAGACAAAACCAAAATCACCAATGCCAGTTAATTTAAATGGGCAAAGGGAAGGTGCTGGCCCACTCGGCAACCTCCTTGCGGAGGGCGAGGATCTCAGAGACGGTTTCAGAGGCAACCTTGGCCTTGAAGTCCTTGAGCTTGTTGGCCGGCTTGGGGAGCTCAGCCTGGACGCTCTTGCAGATCTTGATGGCCTGGTCAATGTACTGAGCAATACGCTTGAACTCCTCCTCACCCATGCCACGGGTGGTCATGGCGGGGGCACCGATACGGATACCGCAGGGGGTGAGAGCGGACTTGTCACCGGGGATGGAGTTCTTGTTGCAGGCAATGTTGATCTGCTCGAGAACAGCCTCAACCCGGGCACCGTCCAAGGACTTCTCACGGAGGTCAACAAGGACCATGTGGCTGTCAGTACCGTCAGCAACGAGCTTGTAGCCCAGCCGCTTGGACTCGTTCTCGAACGCCTTGGCGTTCTTGATAACCTGCTCCTGGTACTGCTTGAACTCGGGGCTGGCAGCCTGCTTGAGGGCAACAGCAAGAGCAGTGATGGTGTGGTTGTGGGGACCACCCTGGTGGCCGGGGAAGACAGAGAAGTTGATGGGACCCTCAAGGTCGTACAGGATGTCCTCACCGGTCTTGGCGTTGGTGCTGCGGACACCCTTGCGGAAGAAGATCATGGCACCACGAGGACCACGGAGCGACTTGTGGGTGGTGGTGGTGACGACATCAGCATGCTCGAAGGGCGACGGGATGACACCAGCAGCAATGAGACCGGAGATGTGGGCCATGTCGACAATGAGGTAGGCGCCGACCTTGTCAGCGATCTTACGCATGCGGGCGTAGTCGATCAGACGGCAGTAGGCAGAGGTACCGGCAACAATGCACTTGGGGCGGTAGAGCTCAGCGTTGTGCTCGAGCATGTCGTAGTCAATGATACCAGTGTCGAGGTTGACACGGTAGGGGAAAGTCTCGAAGTAGGTAGAGACGGCAGAGATCCTAAGACACGGCAGGTTAGCATTTGCTTTTACGCATGTACGACTTGAATGGTAAAACGTACTTCTTGGCGGGAGTCTGGTAACCGTGACTCAAATGACCACCGTGGGGCAGGTCGAGACCCATGAGACGGTCGTGGGGGCGCATGAGGGCCTGGTAGACCTGGAGGTTGGCAGGGCTACCAGAGAGACACTGAACGTTGACACCCCACTTCTCAGAGTCGAGGTTGAAAGCCTTGAGAGCACGAGCCTGGCAGGTGAGCTCAATGGCATCGATGTGCTGGTTACCACCATAGTAACGAGCTCCGGGGTAGCCCTCAGAGTACTTGTTGGACATGGGCGAGCCAAGAGCATCGAAGACAGCACGAGAGGTGAAGTTCTCGGAGGCAATCAGTACGACGGATTCACGCTGACGCTGGATTTCCTTCTCCATGATCTGCGCGATCTCGGGGTCGGAGTCCACGAGACGGTTCTCCATTTGCTATACCATCCAAGTTAACCATGACAAGATCCTTTGAGTGGGAAAATTCTGCGATAGAGGGGAAGTACTCACCTCCCGGTGGGTGGAGGACAGAGCGTAAGCAGCCATTGCGACGAAGGGTATCTTTGATGAAAGAGAGGGATATAGGTCAAGGGATTGAAGAAATTGGAGGGAATAGATGCAAGCACAAAGACGTTTTTGAAGAGAAAAGAAGAGAGTGAGAAGAGGAAGAAGAGAAGAAATGAGAGAAAAAAAAAAAAAAGGGAAAATAACTCTGATGGCGGGCGGCGGAGAATCTTAGAGGGGTTGACAGTTTTTGCCGCCTCAGGCAGAATGTGCTTTTTTTTTTTTTTTGCGGGATCAGCGGACTTTGATTGGCCAATAAGCGCTCCGCCCAGGAACGATATCGGCGAAGAGCGTTTCACCGGGAAACAGTCATACTTGCGCGGACTAGTGTTATTCCATGGTCTAAGTATACAATGCAGTTAAGCAATGTTTATTCTATTGCCAAGTGTTGCAATTGGAATGTATTGGTATCTAGCAGTACAGAGTACAAGCAAGTAAGGAAGATGATGTGATGTGGATCATAGTTGCTCTGCAAGTAAGAGGACCGTGGGAGCCTCTAAGCGATCAGTGCTGAGATCCATCCCCCCCGCGAAGCACATTCCAGTGTAGCACAGAACCCCTCGACTTCGAACAGTTATTATGCTTGCAGGTGCTGTGATCCCAATCCCTTGCACAGGTCAATTGGGCCACATCGATTGTCGCTGTCACATCGCCCATACATTACGTTCAAAGAGCATGCGTGATCGAGTTGGTTTCGTGTGAATCGTTCCGGGATGTTAATTCCACAGAGGTCGCGTACTGCTTATTGACCGAGTTGGCAGATCCCTAGAATGTCTGCTATATCACAAGACCAGCGCATCTGTCCGTTGACAGCCAAGGTCCCTTCCCAGTGATCGAGCCGCCCAACAATAGCTTCCTGCCCAACTGAAAGCGCTAGGAGAACCTTGATTGTATTGTCCATATATGCCAACGTTGTCCTCAAGTCTGCATCTTGGATTGTTGAGAGTTCGTCTGACCGGCTCTTCTCCCAAAGTCAGAGATGACCGATTGCAGTTTGGCAATACGGTCCTCGAGCTCATCAATCTCCTGATCTTGCTCTGCAACAGAACGCTGCACATCTGGAAGTCCTTCCACCACTGCTTGTGCTTTTTGGATCCGGATCTTGATGGAGCTGGCTTCCGTGGGGAGGTCTTTGATGTCAAGCGGAGGAGGTGCGTTGGAACTAAGGGCGGCGATTTCAGCGGCCATGGAGGCAGGCCCTACTGCAGGATGTTGGCCATTTCCGCTTCCCGTCGCTGTCTGCTGTTGCTGTTGTTGAGACTGAGCGTCTGAAGGACCTCCCGCGCCCGTGGCATCTCCGGCAGCTCCTGGGCCCGTGGCATTGTTCGAGGGAGAAAGCAACCGAAGGAGAAGACCGTGCAATGGTGGGATGATATCTAAGGTCTGCGGAGGTGGAAAAGGCACGGCTTGCGGCGTCGTGGTGGTGGTGGTGGTAGCTGTCGGGTCTTTGGCAGGGGTCTCGGGCGCGGAAGACAGCTTTGGCAGGGGAGTGATGGCGGCAGTGGGGGATCGGGACGCCATTGCGGGAGCGTGGGGTAACCAGTAAGTAATATTTTCCACTGGCAATTCCTTCAATCCACGCTGGCCTCAATAATAATTAATCGGGTGTGATTGACAGTTCCTGGTTTCGGCTGTTGAGTAGGAAAGAGTCGGAACGCGTTCGATCGCAGCGGCGGACGAGAACGGAGGTTTTCCCGTGACGTCGAACAACCAAAAGCGTCACCGGGAACAAGCGCGCTGCCCCTCCCCATACACATATTATTATTTCTCTCCCTTCACCGGTCGGTTTTTTTTTCCCCTTCTTTCTTCTCTTCATCACCTTCCTTTTTTATTTTATTTTTTTTTATATATTATTAGTGGTGAGTTCTCTCTCATTTCTTTAAATTGGGAAATCTGCCCTAATCCAGTGCTATAAAAAACACTGTTCTGTTGACGTTCAACAATTGACCTTTTTTTTTTGTCTTGCAGGTGTCTCTCGATTCACCATGGCCAAGGTCGACCAGAAAGCCGTTCTGAGTAAGCTCGAACAATGCCCTACGGATGCTGGCAGTATCGCTCATATGGTTTCTTTATATAGTTGTCATCGACGGTTGGGGTGTTCCCTCCGAGAACTCGAAGGGCGATGCCATCACCGCCGCTGAGACTCCCTTCATGTCGGGGTTCGCTGAGGCCAATTCCAAGACCGCCCAGGGCTACACCGAGTTGGATGCTTCCTCGTTAGCTGTCGGTCTGCCGGAGGGTCTCATGGGTAACAGTGAAGTCGGTCACTTGAACATCGGTGCCGGCCGTGTGGTCTGGCAGGACAGTGTTCGCATCGACCAGACTCTGAAGAAGAATGAACTGAAGAAGGTGGACAACATTTTCAAGTCCTTCACTCGTGCGAAGGAGGGTAATGGTCGTCTGCACTTGGTGGGTCTGGTTTCGGACGGCGGTGTTCACTCCAACATCACCCACTTGGTCGGCCTGCTTCGTGTCGCCAAGGAGATGGAGATCCCCGAGGTGTTCATCCACTTCTTCGGTGATGGACGTGACACCGACCCTAAGAGCGCCGCCAAGTACATGGAGGATCTGCTTGAGAAGACCAAAGAAATTGGCATTGGTAAGATCGCCACGGTGGTTGGCCGCTACTGGGCTATGGACCGTGACAAGCGCTGGGACCGCGTTGAGCTCGCGCTGAAGGGTGTTGTCTCGGGCGAGGGTGAGGAGAGCTCTGACCCCGTCAAGACCATCAAGGAGTGCTATGAGAAGGGCGAGACGGACGAGTTCTTGAAGCCTATCATTGTTGGCGGCAAGGACCGCCGGATTCAGGGTACGGTTGATTAGCTTGCGTTAACTTACGTGCATGATTGACTGACTTTATCAGATGACGACACCCTCTTCTTCTTCAACTACCGTTCCGACCGTGTCCGTGAAATCACCCAGCTCTTGGGTGACTACGACCGTTCCCCCAAGGCCGACTTCCCCTACCCCAAGAACATCCACATCACCACCATGACCCAATACAAGACCGACTACACCTTCCCCGTTGCCTTCCCTCCTCAGCACATGGGTAACGTCCTCGCTGAATGGCTCGGTAAGAAGGACCTCCAGCAGTGTCACGTTGCTGAGACCGAGAAGTACGCCCACGTTACTTTCTTCTTCAACGGTGGTGTTGAGAAGCAGTTCCCCGGTGAGGTGCGCGACATGATTCCCTCGCCCAAGGTCGCCACGTACGACCAGGACCCTAAGATGAGCGCCGCCAGTGTTGGTAAGAAGACAGCTGAGCGCATTGCCGAGGGCAAGTTCGAGTTCATCATGAACAACTTTGCTCCTCCTGACATGGTTGGCCACACTGGTGTCTACGACGCTGCTATTGAGGGTGTTGCTGCCACCGACAAGGCCATTGGCGAGATCTACGAGGCTTGCAAGAAGAACAACTACCTTCTCTTCATCACTGCCGACCATGGGTGAGTCTTCCTAACATAGTACCCCTAGCTAGTTGACTAACCGTCATAGAAACGCCGAGGAAATGCTCAACGAGAAGGGCACCCCCAAGACCTCGCACACGCTCAACAAGGTTCCCTTTGTGTTGGCCAACGCCCCTGAGGGCTGGAGCCTCAACAAGGATGAGGGTGTTCTGGGAGATGTCGCACCGACGCTCCTTGCTGCCCTTGGTATTGAGCAGCCTGAGGAGATGTCTGGCAAGAGCCTTTTGGTCAAGGCATAGATTAGTATATAATAGATCTTTCCCTATAGAGGGTTGTATGATGTGGTATGAAGAAATGAACAATTAATCGATGATTTACTATGTGTCCCGACTGCCGAACAAGTAGAATGTGCCAGAGCGCGCCAGATCTCGGAACCCCATGATCGACAGAACCATCGAAATCTGAATATGGCCAGCTACAGCTTGTCCCCACCAAACTGATCTCAGCTGAATGCCCAATCCACCCCAAGACCCTAATTATCCGACAATCGACTCTTCACCGCTTCAGCTCACTTATCTCCCCGAAAACTTGAGTCATGCTATTGCCGTTTTGGCGTTAACCGGGACCATCCATCTCATCTCGCTCGCCAGATCGATGTGATCGGTTCACTCGTATGGTCGGAACATTTCCCCCATATCCACCTATACGATGCCGTGGGCCTTCCCAAGTGGTCATAGATAGATGCAAATACCGGACAAAATTCTACGAGCAACTCACTCCTGCCTCACTGGGACGTTGCCGCTTTAACGGGGTGACGGATAGAACAAATGGATAAGTAAATTGATGACATGAATATCATTGAACCAGAAGCAACCTCTACAACCAGAATCGGCCAAAACCTCTTCATTGCAGTCAACCAACTAGGCATCGCCATTTGCATTCCCCTCTGACGAAGCCCTGAGCTTCTTATTATACGCGTCACTTAACAATTCATCCGCCTCATTTTTCTCAAATAACTGCGCGTTGTAACAAGGAGGAATCCCATACCGATCCGTCGCTGTCGGATCAGCCCCATGCTCGAGCAACCACCGTATCGGCTCCAATTTGCCAATCTCGGCAGCAATATTAAGCGGCCTTGCACCCCAATGAAAACCCCGCATATGGATCGCAAGGTGATTGACACCAGCACCGCGCTTGACCAGATGATCGAGCATTTCAATCACGTCCGCGCTTGTGTCCCAGTATAGCGCCTCATGTATGGCTCGGCTGTTGTGGAGGTTGGCGCCGTGCTCGAGGAAGATGTCGACTATGGAGGGGCTGGCACTATTGGCTGCTTGCTCCAGCACGGCTCCGGACGTGTCGATGTAATCCGAGTCGTCGTCGTGTTCCTTTTCTGGGTCTGGGTCCGGGCCGAAGTTGGGGTTTGCGCCTAGGGCCAGGAACCAGCGGAGAAGGGTTTAGTCGTCTTTTTGAACGACATGCCTATTACAGGCAATGGTGTTAGGTCTGGCTAGATAAAACAATAGATAAATGAGACGAAAAACATACATCAAGGAAACACGGCGCAAGCTCAGGTTTTGATGGATATCCAATCCATGCTCGAACACGAGTGTAAATGCTTCGACTGATCGTGCTTCTTCCACCACACTCGAGTCTATTGTCACATTTGCTATCCAAGAGAAACCGCATGATGTCAATGTGATTTTTCGTCGCAGCATCTCGCAGAGCTAATGTCCATGATCCATCGCTTTGATTGCTACGGAGAAGCAATTCTTGGACTCGGGCCAGGTCGCCTTCTCGACAGCTTTCTCGGAGTTTGGCCGTCGCTACGGCATCTGGGTAGGAGTAGTTGACAGACCGTTGAAACGGCATTGTAGCAAAGAACCCGAGGAAGTTGAGTGTTGAATTGTGGAAGGAAAGCAGAATACAGCCAATGTTCAATGATAATAAAAACTATAGGAAAGTCAGCCTCGTGAGGTTGTTAATCGTCGTCGGATCGGGGCGGTTCAGGATGAACATCACCTATTAGGACGGCAGACAAGGGCAGACAAGGCTTTTTTAAATGCTTTTTTTTTTTTTTTTTTTTTTTT